CTTACAGCCCCATCAGGTACAACCCCCACTGCAGGTTCATCCCCTCAGGTTGCCTTCAAGGTCTGTGGCTTTGGGCTGTGATTCCACCAGTGGCCTCATCCCTCGCTTGTGCTGCCTTCGAATCTCACAGTTGCCAATCCAGCTTCATCCCGTGACTGCACACTGACAGGCTCTGTGCGTGTGCATTGCAGGTGGAGGGGAGGGGCGCTGGGGTCAACACCGACGCTTCCCCACGCCCCTCCCCTGTGGCCGTGCAGGGACTCGCGGGAACAGGAGGGAGGGAGCACTGCAGCATGTGCAGCAAGGGAGAGTATCGGGATGGGCTTGGCCTCTCAAGGTAAGCCTCTTACCTTCCTCCCGCTGAACTCGTTTTCTGCTAACTTGCATTGGCGCTCATTCCTTTGTTTCGCCCTTGCCTGTTTCAACTCCTGCGCTCACTTGCCTCCCGGCCTTCCCTTCTGTTCTGCCCCTTCCAGGTCACTTGCAGTGCTGCAGAGACAGATGATGGAACCAGTTGTAGCAGCATCAGCAATGGGGAGCACTGGCGCAGCAGGGGAGGGGAGGGGAGGGAGGGGGACATGAGGCAGCATCTCACACCGCTTCTTCAGCTGCCAGCTAAGTGCTTTCTCCTCCCTGGACTCGCTCTTGCTTGCTGTTCACTGCTAATATTGCCCACTCAACTCTTTTTCGCATGGGCTTTTGTGTTTTGCCCCTGAAACCCTACCACTGGTGTAGTCTCGCTTCACAAGCCACAGACCTTACCTTACTCCTGATTAGCCCCTCAGGTTAAGCCTTCCCTAGAACTTACAGCCCCATCAGGTACAACCCCTACTGCAGGTTTATCCCCTCAGGTTTCCTTGCAGGTCTGTGGCTTTGGGTTGTGTTTCCACCAGTGGCCCCTCCCCTCGCGTGTGCTGCCTTTTAAATTCGCAGTTGCCAATCCAGCTTTATTCTTTGGCTGCACACTGACAGCCTCTGTGCGTGTTTCTTGCAGGTGGAGGGGAGGGGCGCTGGGGTCAACACCGACACTTCCCCACGCCCTTCCCCTGTGGCCGTGCAGGGACTGATGGGGATGGGAGGGAGGCAGCACTGCAGCAGATGGCAATCGCTGCCACAAGGGAGAGTATCGGGGTGGGCTTGGCCTCTCAAGTTACGTCAACTTCCTCCCTGGCCTCCTAGATTTTTCCTCAAGCTCTTTTCTGCTGCAGGTTTGTCTCTGTCTTACCGTCATCGCTTCTGTAGGTTTCTTCTTGTTTCTGATTCTGTCAGCTTCACCCTCTGCCATGTTTTGGCTTCCCCTCACTCATTGTTTCTTCTCCTCCGTTCTGCCCACCGCCAGGTCACTTGGCATCAAGGGAAGAATGCAGCTGAGTAGCAGACCGGCAGCAGCAGTTGCAGCGGCAGAATTGGCGCCGGCAGCAGCAGTAGCAGCAGTGGGGGCTGTGGAGCTAGGGGGCAGGCTAGGCTAGGTCGAGTCATGGTATGCAAGGTGTGGTAACAGGTGAGGTATGGTTACAGGTAAGGTATTCTGACCCCCTCCTTTCTATTTCCCCCCTTTTGTCCTGCAGCCTGAGGATGGGAGTGCTGAAGCAAGGGCGGAGAGTGGAGTCCACTCTCTCACTCACCTTCTCCTCTCTCCCTTTTCCCTTCCTTTCCCAGCAGCACCCGGCCTGGAGCACAGAGGAGTCCCTCCCTCCCCTAATCCCCCCTTCTCTCTCCACTTCCCAGCAGCCTCAGCATCATGGCGCTCTGCACGGCTGTGGTAGGTATAGGTAAGGAGGCATGGGGTTGAAGTGTGGGGTGGGTGGGTGGGGAGCATGGGAGCAAGCGGGGAGTTCACTGCCTTACGGATAGCATCTCCTGGGGTTGTGTCTTGTGGTGGTGGGGTGTGGTGGGTGGAATCTGCGCGGCACGGCACTCGGTGCTCAAGTAACCGATCTGACGTGCAAGGCTTAATGGACACCGTCAGAGCCGACCGGCCGGCGGCTCTGGTTCGCGTCAGCTCTGGCTACGTCAGGGGTGGGATTTGAGTCTTGGGCTGGAAGCAATTTTCCACTACCACGCCTCGCCCCACAAGGCACCGCCTCTGGGGGTGTTGTTTCCTTAAAAAAGTGGGCTGTCTGCTGCTCCTACTGCTGGCAGGTGAAGGTGGGGATGGGCTGGGTGGGTGGGTGAGAGGTAAGGGCCTGAAACTCCTTGGGTTGGGTGGGAGAGAGGGAAAGGGACTGAATCCTTTAGGGTTGGGTGGGTGAGAGGGAAGGGGATTGAATCCCCTTGGGTTGGGTGGGAGAGAGGGAAGGGGACTAGATCTTCCCCTTGGGTGGGATGGGTGAGAAGGAAGGGGTGAATCCCCTTGGGTGGGATGGGTGAGAAGGAAGGGGTGAATCCCCTTGGGTGGGATGGGTGAGAAGGAAGGGGTGAATCCCCTTGGGTGGGATGGGTGAGAAGGAAGGGGTGAATCCCCTTGGGTGGGATGGGTGAGAAGGAAGGGGTGAATCCCCTTGGGTGGGATGGGTGAGAAGGAAGGGGTGAATCCCCTTGGGTGGGATGGGTGAGAAGGAAGGGGTGAATCCCCTTGGGTGGGATGGGTGAGAAGGAAGGGGTGAATCCCCTTGGGTGGGATGGGTGAGAAGGAAGGGGTGAATCCCCTTGGGTGGGATGGGTGAGAAGGAAGGGGTGAATCCCCTTGGGTGGGATGGGTGAGAAGGAAGGGGTGAATCCCCTTGGGTGGGATGGGTGAGAAGGAAGGGGTGAATCCCCTTGGGTGGGATGGGTGAGAAGGAAGGGGTGAATCCCCTTGGGTGGGATGGGTGAGAAGGAAGGGGTGAATCCCCTTGGGTGGGATGGGTGAGAAGGAAGGGGTGAATCCCCTTGGGTGGGATGGGTGAGAAGGAAGGGGTGAATCCCCTTGGGTGGGATGGGTGAGAAGGAAGGGGTGAATCCCCTTGGGTGGGATGGGTGAGAAGGAAGGGGTGAATCCCCAAGGATATTTGGGATATGATATGTGATATTTCAGGGTGATTTGTAATTGGCTGGTATGTGGTATTTCAGAGTGGTTTGTAATTTGCTGGTATGTGGTATTTCATAGTGGTGTGTCTGTGTGGCATATGATTGTATAATATGATCGTTTGTAATAGTATGGCATGTGATATTGTGTAGTGTGACACTGTGCTGTGTGATAGTGTGGTGTGTGGTAGTGTGGTGTGGGATAGTGTGGCATATCATAGCGTGGTTTCCAACATCTTGGTATGCCTTAATCTGGGATGTAAGGAAAGGGCATGTGCAGCTTATACTATGGCATGTTGCTACTATGGAATGAATCACGTACTGCAGTATGTTGTACTGTTGCACGTCACAGTCTACCGTAGCATGTATTATTATGGTGGAGTGTGGCCGTTGGGGTGATTGAATGCAAAGCCCCGCCATTTGACTGATGGATGGTGGCCTATTAGGGTGATGTGATCATGCCTTGTGCAGCCGAGTCATACGTTTGCATTGTTGGTTGGATGCCTAGATGCATGCTGCAGCATTGCAGCGATGATACGTGCATGTCACAGATTAGATGTGATGCTACCCCATCAGCATGCGTGTATGTATGGTATGAGTGCGTTGAGCCCTGAACCAGGAATACCGTATGTGATTCATGGATTTGGTCATATGCTGCATGTGAACACAATTGTAGCATGTTATTGTTTTTTTAGTCAAAATGTTTGTTGTACCAACTGTTTTTTAGGTTTGCTACAGATTATGTCCATACGAGCAAGTTCAAGTCAAACTATCTATGAAGCAAGATACTGCATAAAGAAGTTGCTCTCCTAGGGATCACCGAACCAAAGTCGGTGATAAGTGCGTTCCAACAGTTTCTGCGACTGTTGACGGGCAATCGACGTGCTTATGTCACGCTCCTGAACGGTCGAATGACGGGCAGCGGGAATAAAACCTTTGCAATCATATCGGTTTTAAGTGCAGAAATCATCCCCTTCTTTGACGCGGACTTTATCAGGGACAGTGAACTTTTCCGGAACAAGCCACACAAACCAGATCAAACCAGATCAGACAAACCAAACCAGGCCAACAGCGGGGCACAAGCACCAACCAAAGGGAATTGCTAGTTCGGGAAATTGCTGCTCCGTGGCTGGGCTGGGATGGAACATTCTTGCCATGGCAGCAGGCACCATGGCTGCCTGCCTGCGTGCTCCCTTTCTTCCCTGCCTCTCCCCCTCTCCACTCCACCCTTTTCTTTCATTACAGCATCCACTCCCTGTACAACCTCCTCACCGACCCTACCCACCAACCATCCCCTCCTAAGGCCGCGTGCGGTCGAGCTTTTGTCAAAGTTCGAACTTCAAGAAAGGTTGTACACGGTAGGATACATTTGAGAACTGTGTCGCCACGGTAAAGAGCGGTACTGAGCTCGAACTTCGCCAAACTGCACCAGAAGACACGCACCTAACCTGACCTGACCATCCCTCATGACCTACCCTGACCCTCCCTTCCCCCTACCAACAAATTTTCACACTCGCTTGCTTTTGGCTGTTTGGTGCCAGATGGTGTTGTCAGTTCAGTTTATGGCTCTCATCATCAGCTCCATCCACAAAACGATCTTGCTGCTGCTGTTCGAGCAAAAACGGTTTCCAAAGGGCTTTGACTTCGACCATTCTCTTAGCACTTGCATATTTTCTTTACTTTGCATCGTCGGCAGCGTGACTCTTGCGCTACGGTGACAAGAAAGATGTCTGGAAAGTTTTTCACCTTTTCCAGCATTAACAACTCATCCTATCCACCAAATCGTTAGTGTCCGTTCTTCTGCACCTTAGAGAGAAAAAACGCGACACTTGTAATCGCGGTGTCTGGTCCAGCCGTTTAGGACCTTATTTCTGTGGGTGACGTTTTCAGATTAGGTGAGACACATAGCAATCACGCGCATCGGCAGGTGTTGGATTTTTCCCTCTTCGACGGCGATCGATCGTCCACCATTTTTCCATGTCGATAGTCGCAGCATGCTCATTACCCTGCTACTTGTGCTGCTGTTACTCCCATCGAATAAAGATCGTGCGGCATTCGCGACAACGGAAATGCCATTTAACTCCAAGTTTGGTAAGTCCCCGGGAAAATACTTATGACAGGGACCACGGACTTGTTTCGTGGATTATGAGATCCTCTCTGAAAGAGCTTAGAAATCTGATTACGGTCAGTTACACCGTTCTGTCAGCTGATTACGATTATACTGCCGGAGAAGCCTGCTCGTGAGGAAGGTTCAGTCGTTTTGGCGACTCTCTTGTGTCGGCCGCTATGGCAACGCGCGTGCTCTTTCGCTCTCCCGTTGTGCACCATCCTCTGTCACCCTCTCGCTACACGCATGCTCTCAGGCTCTCTTGCCAGTTCCGTCATCCACCCACCTTCCTCCCCCCAATCGCCTCCCCTCTCCATCCCCGCCTTTTCCGCACCCAACCCTATACCATCCAATCCGCGCGTCTACTCGCGACCTGCCTCCTCTCAGCACATGCACATCGTTCTCGCTGCCTCGTCTCCCTTTTGCCTTAGAGGCCTCGCCAGCCGTTAGATTTAAAGTTCCAGAGGAGAGCACCGAGTGGGTTGGAGTGACTGCTGTTAGCTGGGATTGTCATCCGGGACTGTGAACAGGAGCGTGCAGGCTGGCAGGACTGGGTTGAAACAATCGCTTTTAGGAGCTTTAAGGCAGGCATGCAGCTAGCCAGCAGGTCTTCCCTTTTTCGCGGCTTTCCTCCTGTATATTGTTACGCTCGTCGCGCAGCCTTGAAGCTTTCGAGTTGAGTATCGCGTTGCTGGTCGCGTGGCACGAAGTGCTACAGACGTACGAAACAAATTAGGCGCCTACAAAATGCAACACACGTACGAGACCACCACGACCAGACGATCTTCTGTCCACGCTGCTGTGATTCGTGGCTCGCAGTGCAACCCATGTACGAGATTATGACGGCCTTTAATCTCGACCCGGAGCAGAACTGGAGTGAAGGCGCGCCGTGCTCCGACGACGGCACGGGCAGCGGCTTTAAGGGCGTTATCTGCGACTCCAACGGCAACCCTCGTGCCATGTAAGCAACGCCGACGCTCACTCGCCCTTCCGCCACGTGGACGTCTCTCTCAGTGCCGCGTCAGTAGACACGCTTGCCACGCCGTCATGAGCTTTGCCACGTCAGGCGCAACAGCTCGTCGCGTCGATGACATCATTGCTTGTAGGTAAGAGACTTGCTTTCTCACGCCCCGCCACCCCTCCCGTTCCGTCTTTCCCTCCGCTCCCGTTGCGCCCCGCATCCCGCCATCCATGCTGTCGCGTGTGTGGGTCTCTGTCGCTGGTTCTGCTGACCCTCCGCGGACCCTGTGCGTTGGGGTGTTGCGCGCGAATACTGCGCGCAGGGTCTTTCCTATCCGCTACTTCAAGTACTGCTCTCTCTCCACCCTTCGCATCGTCCTTGTGCCTCGCTGTAACCCTCATTACTTCTCTTCCGCGCCCCCGCTTCCGCCCATTTCCCCACATATTCTCTCTCACATTCCTTCCTATCTTCCCGCCAATTCTTCTTCTTCATTCCCTCTAAGCTGTATACCCTCTCCTGTCTCATCCTTCACGGCCCGCTGCTTCATGTTTCCCATCCCTGGCCAGACTTGATCTCTCTCCCCCTTGTGTCCCCACCCCACCTTGTGTTCGTATCCTGCCGTCTCTATTGCAATCGTGTCCGCCCATGCACCATCCCCCACCCCATGCGCCACCCCCCATCCCATGCGCCATCCTCCCATCCCATGCGCCTTCCCCACACCCCATGCGCCATCCCCCACCCCATGCGCCATCCCCCACCCCATGCGCCATCTCCCCGTCCCATGCGCCATCCCCCCCCCCCATGTGCCATCCCCCACCCCATGTGCCATTCCCAGCCTCTCATGCACCATCCCCCACCCCATGCACCATCCCCCACCCCATGCACCATCCCCCACCCCATGCGTCATGCCCCACCCCATGCGCCATCCCCACCCCATGCGCCACCCCCACCCCATGCGCCACCCCCACCCCATGCGCCCATCTGTACCTCCTGCCTCGTCTCTCTAGCACTCAACCCCCACATCTTGTCGCTACTCCTATCCCTGTCGGCCGCTCGCCTCTTCCTCTCCCTCTCCGCATTCCTTCTCCCTCTCCTCATCCCCGTCGCCCCTTGTCTCCCCTCATTCTCATCGTCCCCCCCCATCCCCTCTTCACCTTCGTCCCTACCTCCCCTCATCCCCATCACCTCCTACCAGGATACCCACCCTAGGGAACTCCCTCGTGGGCCTCAGATCCCTCCCCACCGCCTTCGCGCGCCTCACCACGCTCACCAGATTGTAAGCCGCTTGAACTCTCCCCGTCCGCTTCCCCCCTGTCTCCCTTCAAACGGCCCTCGTGCCAAACGGCCCTCGTGCCAAACGGCCCTCGTGCCAAACGGCCCTCGTGCCAAACGGCCCTTGTGAAAAACGGCCCTCGTGCCAAACGAAATACAGGCCTGTACGTGCCTCACCTCTTCACCTTTCACTGCTTTCAACCATGCTTCTACAGCTTCCTACCCTTTGGCGCTCCATGGCCTTGTACTCCTGTATGCTCTCCACCCTTCCTCCTGCTCGCTCGTCAGCCTCTTATCTAATTGCCACTTCCCTCCGCCCCCACCCCCCTCCTTCCCTCTTCCTCCTCCCTCCTCCCCCCCAACTCCTCCTTCTCCCTCCCCACCCCCATTGACACTCCATCCGTGGTGATGTCGGCGCGGTGCTGTGTTCTCGCAGAGTGCTGATCATGGGGCTCATTAACACCACACTAGACGACTTCGTCACACCCCTCGTCTCACTTATCTAATTGCCGCCTTCCTCTGCCTTCCCCTTGCCTTCTCCTTCCCTCCCTCCCTCCCTCCATCTTGGTGGTAACGGCACGGTGCGGCACCGACCAGAGTGCTCATAATGGGCCTCATTAACACCAGATTAGACGACTTCGCCAGACCCCTCTCCTGCCTGCCTAACTTAAGACACTTGTGAGCCGCCTCCACCGCCTCTCCTTATCTGGGTTTCTATCGAGTCGTTCTCGGTCATTATGTGATAAATTCCATTGCTTCCCCGCCCTTTGCTCGGCCTTCTCTTTGCACATCGCACTGCCTTGTTGAATTCATGCCATCATTGTGCCTTACCACCATCATCACCATGCCTTACCATCATCACTATGCCTTACCATCATCATCATCATGCCTCACCACCACTTCCCTGCCTGCAGAGTGCTGGATGGGAACTCCTTCTATGGACCCGTCCCGCCTTACCTCATTAACTCACCCACTCTAACTCACTTGTAAGTGTTTTTTTCCCTTTACTTGTTCCTTCCACCCTTCGTCTCCCCGTCCAACCCCCCTGTCTCACTTTCACCACCTGCGCCCCCTCTACCTTCCCCCAAGCCAATGCCTGTCCGTCTGCCTTCAAGCATGCTTAGCGGCCCCGCGTATCTGAGACTGGAGAACCCTTTATCCTGCCTTAGCAACCACCAAACCCTCCCTGGCTTCTTGTTTCCCTCTCCTTTCCCTTACCCATATTGGTCCCACACCTCCCTCCCCCCCTTCTATTCCATTTCTCGTTGCTGCATCCTTATCCTCAACCACAGAACCCAACCTGCCCCCCCTTCCATCTCCCCTTCCTTTCCTTCACCCACCCCTTTCCTCCCTCTCCCCTTCCTTTCCTTCACCCCCCTCTCCCCTTCCCTCTCCCTTTCTTTGCCTTCCCCCCCCCTCTCCTCCTCCCCTTCCTTACCTCTCCCCCCTTCCTCCCAGGTCGTTACAGGGCAACAAGCTAACGGGCACAATAAGGGCCATAGGTCCCAAGCTCACAGCGCTCTTCCTCTCCGTCAACTTCCTAACCGGCGCGCTCCCCCCTGCCCCCCACCTGCGCGTCTGCAACGCCGCCATGAACTGCCTCTCCCGCACCGCCGGCTGTAACGGGGTAACCGGGTTTCCGCGCCGCCAGCGCACCATCGGGTGCCGGCGGAACCCCTGTGCCAAGCCGAGGTTACTCAACACGTTCCAGTGCAAGTGGGCCAAGTCGTGTATTCCACAGTATGGAGACTGGCCGCCCTGGGAGGTTGATGCGCTATCAAACCCGCCTGATAAAGGCTGGAAGTGTAATTCCTGCCCCACGGGGACTTACGCGACGAGAAGGCGATGCGGTGCGTGTGTGTGAGTTGGCGTGATCTTGTTACACCTATCTCGAAACCGCTCCCTCTTCTCTCGTCCCACCCTCTCCTTTCCACGCCCTGACTCCTCTTCTCTCCCCCCCCTCTCTCCCCCCCCCTCTCCCCCCCCCCCCCCTCACCTGCCTTCACACGCTGTAAGTTCCAGCTGTCATGAGAATTTTTTAGGTTTTAGTACTTCCTGATTTGCTGATTTTTGCTTCATGTCCCTGCTCTTTTTCTGTGGGTCTGTGTGTGTGTCGGGGCTTATTGGGTTGCAGTTCCCTGCTCCAAACCCTTCGTGCGATGTCGGAAAAAACGACGCAGATTTAGATGTCCAAAATAGGCTGTAGCCTGGCCTGGTGGAGTAGACGTAGTCTGTCAGGCGTTTTGGCCCTTCATAAAATAGGGCAGTGTTTTCATTATTTAGTCAAGGTTCTGTAAAGATTGTGGAGCGTTGTGCAGCAAACGAATGCCTTCTATCGAAGCATTCTTCCGCACCACATCCACCCCTTTTTCTCGAAATCGTTCACCGTACTGAATTGCACAGCAACGTGCAGCACCGTTCTGTCATGCATTCCAATTTCACGTGCAGAAAAGGCCATGCCCATCGCAAAAAAACGCGCCCACCCACTCTATCTCATTGCTTGCTTCAAATCGCACATTTCAAGTCGCTTCAAGTCGCTTCAATTGGTACCGACGCACATCGCTTCTCCGCCAACTTCCCTGAAGCCGACGCACCGTCACGTTGTCGCGACTGCCTGACGTAGTCGCACTGTCGCACTGTCGCACAGTCGCGCAGCTGCCACCGTGCGACGGATCCAATGTCGCAGCTCATCTCAATAGCAGCGCTAGCTCGCCCGCCTCCTCCTTCCCCCGCCTTTCTCCCCCCTCCGTCTTTCGCGCAACGCCCAGCCGTCCTTCTCAAATGGAGTAATCATGCATCCATCAAGCACGCGCCTCGTAAACCGCGCACACCGCTCCTTCTAAGGGCCTCCGCAACCTCCTCGCAGCGCGATCCGCCAGAGGACAGCGGCTCGCGGCCGCAGCCGCCGCCACCGCCGCCAATGCGGGTGATGAGCCGCTCCGCGAAGAACGTCCGGCGCATGATGACCGCCGCCTCCCCGCCCGCCCTCGGGCAGTTCCGCCCGCCCCCGCTGCCCAGTACGGTCCCCCTCCGCCCTCCCCTTCCGCCCTCCCCTTCCGGCCCCCTACCCTTCAACCCCTCCTCCTTACCCCTCCTCCCCCGTTGCCCCCATCTCCGCCCCCTCACCCCAACCTTCTCCCATCTATTCCAATCCCTGTCCGCCATTTTACCCCCCTCTGCAAATTCCCATTCTCCGCCAACTCCTGAGAATCATGCGCGCCGAAATCCTCTGTTGCGCCTCACTCTTCCCCCTACCCGCGGTCGCTCTGCTCCAATCTTTCCCCCTCCCGCAGTCCCAGGCGCGCCAATGTTCCCCATGGGGGGCGCGGGGGGAGGGGATTCGGGGGAAGTGGAGGAGGGGAGGCGGAAGGAGAGGGAGCGGAGGGAGGAACTGATCGCGGCGGTGAGAGAGGGGCGAGGCTCCTGGCAGGAAGTGGCTGCTGCTATCAGGTGAAAACGCTGATGCCCTCAGGTTGGATTGTTGGTGCCTTCAGGTGGATGAGGTTGTGTGTGTGAGCTTCTGTGGAACTTGCTAGCTAATGCATTCATGTGAAATCGCTCATGCTTGGCGAGCGACCTGTACTATTGGTTGGCAAAGAGCCATCTTGCTACCATTGGTCGTGTCTGTGTACCCAGAAGCTCACTACCGCAAGAGTCGGATGTGGATTCTTGTCCCCTTCCTTTCCCCTCTGCCATGGCATGGCCCCCATGCCCCTTGTACATCGCCCTGCCCTGGCATGGCCTTCCCCACAGGCAGCTACAGCAGGCGGGCATGACGGCAGAGGAGGTGGCAGACGTGGCGATGATGGCGCATGCTTGATGCGGTTCAGAGATAGGCAACGCGTCCCTTTCCCTTGCCTCCTCCTCCTCCCCTCCCTTCAGGCAGCTACAGCAGGCGGGCATGACGGCAGAGGAGGTGGCAGACGTGGCGATGATGGCGCATGGCCGTCAAACCGAGCTAGTCGTTGCTGCTCAGGTGCAATCCCTTCCCCGTTCCCCCCGCCCATGTGCATTGCTCATGTGCCATTGCTCATGTGCCTTGCCATGCGCCATGGCCTGCGTGCCTCCTTCCATATGCTATGCCCCGTTCCCCGTGCCGGCGCATGGCCGCCAGATCATGCTAGTCGTCGCTGCACAAGTACCATTCATCATTCTCCGTGTACCATAGCCCATGAACCATGGTACATCCTGCATAGCCCATGAACCATGGTACATCCTGCATAGCCCATGAACCATGGTACATCCTGCATAGCCCATGAACCATGGTACATCCTGCATAGCCCATGAACCATGGTACATCCTGCATAGCCCATGTATTATCGCACATGTACCATAGCCCATGTACCATAGTCCATGTGCCATAGCCCATGTACCATAGCCCATGTGCCATAGCCCATGTACCGTAGCCCATGTACCATAGCCCATGTGCCATAGCCCATGTGCCATAGCCCATGTGCCATAATAGCCCATGCGTCAGTGCCCATGCCCCATTCCCCATGCCATTGTTCCCCATGCCGCCATTCCCCATGCCGCCATTCCCCATGCCCCCATCCCCATGCCCCCATCCCCATGCCGCCATTCCCCATGCCCCTCGCCCATGCTCCATCCCACTCGTCCCCTCTCCCATGTTGCCATTCCTCTCCCATGTTGCCATTCCTCTCCCATGTTGCCATTCCTCTCCCATGCTGCCATTCCTCTCCTCCTTGTGCCGCTGCTGCCGCTGCGGCAGGTGTACGAGTCGCTGCTGCCAGGCGCACAAGAGCCGGAGGGAGACGGAGTCGACAGCAGCGTTGATGTGGTGGCGGCGTTTCAGTCAGAGCAGACTGCAGAGCTGCTATATGAGCTGCGCACCCTCCCCACGGCCGGCCGACGGGTGGGTGCTGCTGGGTTGGGAGTGGTGTGGAGTGGTGGGGATGTTGGGGGTGGCTGATGCTGTGTCTGCTGGCGGTGGTGAGGTTCGTGCGGGTGGTGGGGCCTTCTTTCTCCCTCCACTGGCTGGTTCATGCCTCATGCCCTCCCTCCCACCACCCCCACCACCCCCCCTCCCCTTTCCCTGGTTGCAGCAAGCAGCGGCCTATGTGGTGGAGCAAGGGCTGGATGCTGGGGGGGTGAGGGAGCTGGTGCGCGCCATGAGGGACCACGCCACGCCCCCACCCGGAGAGAGTGCAGAGAGGGGAGTGCAGAGAGGAGTGCAGAGAGGAGTGCAGAGAGGAGTGCAGAGAGGAGTGCAGAGAGGAGTGCAGAGAGGAGTGCAGAGAGGAGTGCAGAGAGGAGTGCAGAGAGGAGTGCAGGAGTGCAGAGAGGAGTGCAGAGAGGAGTGCAGAGAGGAGTGCAGAGAGGAGTGCAGAGAGGAGTGCAGAGAGGAGTGCAGAGAGGAGTGCAGAGAGGAGTGCAGAGAGGAGTGCAGAGAGGAGTGCAGAGAGGAGTGCAGAGAGGAGTGCAGAGAGGAGTGCAGAGAGGAGTGCAGAGAGAGGAGTGCAGAGAGGAGTGCAGAGAGGAGTGCAGAGAGGAGTGCAGAGAGGAGTGCAGAGAGGAGTGCAGAGAGGAGTGCAGAGAGGAGTGCAGAGAGGAGTGCAGAGAGGAGTGCAGAGAGGAGTGCAGAGAGGAGTGCAGAGAGGAGTGCAGAGAGGGGAGTGCAGAGAGGAGTGCAGAGAGGAGTGCAGAGAGGAGTGCAGAGAGGAGTGCAGAGAGGAGTGCAGAGAGGAGTGCAGAGAGGAGTGCAGAGAGGAGTGCAGAGAGGAGTGCAGAGAGGAGTGCAGAGAGGAGTGCAGAGAGGGAGTGCAGAGAGGAGTGCAGAGAGGAGTGCAGAGAGGAGTGCAGAGAGGAGTGCAGAGAGGAGTGCAGAGAGGGGAGTGCAGAGAGGAGTGCAGAGAGGAGTGCAGAGAGGAGTGCAGAGAGGAGTGCAGAGAGGAGTGCAGAGAGGGGAGTGCAGAGAGGAGTGCAGAGAGGAGTGCAGAGAGGAGTGCAGAGAGGAGTGCAGAGAGGAGTGCAGAGAGGAGTGCAGAGAGGAGTGCAGAGAGGAGTGCAGAGAGGGGAGTGCAGAGAGGAGTGCAGAGAGGAGTGCAGAGAGGAGTGCAGAGAGGGGAGTGCAGAGAGGAGTGCAGAGAGGAGTGCAGAGAGGGGAGTGCAGAGAGGAGTGCAGAGAGGAGTGCAGAGAGGAGTGCAGAGAGGAGTGCAGAGAGGAGTGCAGAGAGGAGTGCAGAGAGGAGTGCAGAGAGGAGTGCAGAGAGGAGTGCAGAGAGGAGTGCAGAGAGGGAGTGCAGAGAGGAGTGCAGAGAGGAGTGCAGAGAGGAGTGCAGAGAGGAGTGCAGAGAGGAGTGCAGAGAGGAGTGCAGAGAGGAGTGCAGAGAGGAGTGCAGAGAGGAGTGCAGAGAGGAGTGCAGAGAGGAGTGCAGAGAGGAGTGCAGAGAGGAGTGCAGAGAGGAGTGCAGAGAGGGGAGTGCAGAGAGGAGTGCAGAGAGGAGTGCAGAGAGGAGTGCAGAGAGGAGTGCAGAGAGGAGTGCAGAGAGGAGTGCAGAGAGGAGTGCAGAGAGGAGTGCAGAGAGGAGTGTAGAGAGGGAGTGCAGAGAGGAGTGCAGAGAGGGGAGTGCAGAGAGGAGTGCAGAGAGGAGTGCAGAGAGGAGTGCAGAGAGGAGTGCAGAGAGGAGTGCAGAGGGAGTGCAGAGAGGGGAGTGCAGAGAGGAGTGCAGAGAGGAGTGCAGAGAGGAGTGCAGAGAGGAGTGCAGAGAGGAGTGCAGAGAGGAGTGCAGAGAGGAGTGCAGAGAGGGGAGTGCAGAGAGGAGTGCAGAGAGGAGTGCAGAGAGGAGTGCAGAGAGGAGTGCAGAGGGAGTGCAGAGAGGAGTGCAGAGAGGAGTGCAGAGAGGAGTGCAGAGAGGGGAGTGCAGAGAGGAGTGCAGAGAGGAGTGCAGAGAGGAGTGCAGAGAGGAGTGCAGAGAGGAGTGCAGAGAGGAGTGCAGAGAGGAGTGCAGAGAGGAGTGCAGAGAGGGGAGTGCAGAGAGGAGTGCAGAGAGGAGTGCAGAGAGGAGTGCAGAGAGGAGTGCAGAGAGGAGTGCAGAGAGGGGAGTGCAGAGAGGAGTGCAGAGAGGAGTGAAGAGAGGGGAGTGCAGAGAGGAGTGCAGAGAGGAGTGCAGAGAGGAGTGCAGAGAGGAGTGCAGAGAGGAGTGCAGAGAGGGGAGTGCAGAGAGGAGTGCAGAGAGGAGTGCAGAGAGGAGTGCAGAGAGGAGTGCAGAGAGGAGTGCAGAGAGGAGTGCAGAGAGGGGAGTGCAGAGAGGAGTGCAGAGAGGAGTGCAGAGAGGAGTGCAGAGAGGAGTGCAGAGAGGAGTGCAGAGAGGAGTGCAGAGAGGAGTGCAGAGAGGGAGTGCAGAGAGGAGTGCAGAGAGGAGTGCAGAGAGGAGTGCAGAGAGGAGTGCAGAGAGGAGTGCAGAGAGGAGTGCAGAGAGGGGAGTGGCAGAGAGGAGTGCAGAGAGGAGTGCAGAGAGGAGTGCAGAGAGGAGTGCAGAGAGGAGTGCAGAGAGGAGTGCAGAGAGGGAGTGCAGAGAGGAGTGCAGAGAGGAGTGCAGAGAGGAGTGCAGAGAGGAGTGCAGAGAGGAGTGCAGAGAGGAGTGCAGAGAGGAGTGCAGAGAGGAGTGCAGAGAGGAGTGCAGAGAGGAGTGCAGAGAGTAGTGCAGAGAGGAGTGCAGAGAGGAGTGCAGAGAGGAGTGCAGAGAGGAGTGCAGAGAGGAGTGCAGAGAGGAGTGCAGAGAGGGAGTGCAGAGAGGAGTGCAGAGAGGAGTGCAGAGAGGAGTGCAGAGAGGAGTGCAGAGAGGGGAGTGCAGAGAGGAGTGCAGAGAGGAGTGCAGAGAGGAGTGCAGAGAGGAGTGCAGAGAGGAGTGCAGAGAGGAGTGCAGAGAGGGGAGTGCAGAGAGGAGTGCAGAGAGGAGTGCAGAGAGGAGTGCAGAGAGGAGTGCAGAGAGGAGTGCAGAGAGGAGTGCAGAGAGGAGTGCAGAGAGGAGTGCAGAGAGGAGTGCAGAGAGGAGTGCAGAGAGGAGTGCAGAGAGGAGTGCAGAGAGGAGTGCAGAGAGGAGTGCAGAGAGGAGTGCAGAGAGGAGTGCAGAGAGGGAGTGCAGAGAGGAGTGCAGAAAGGAGTGCAGAGAGGAGTGCAGAGAGGAGTGCAGAGAGGAGTGCAGAGAGGAGTGCAGAGAGGGGAGTGCAGAGAGGAGTGCAGAGAGGAGTGCAGAGAGGAGTGCAGAGAGGAGTGCAGAGAGAGGAGTGCAGAGAGGAGTGCAGAGAGGAGTGCAGAGAGGGGAGTGCAGAGAGGAGTGCAGAGAGGAGTGCAGAGAGGAGTGCAGAGAGGAGTGCAGAGAGGAGTGCAGAGAGGAGTGCAGGGAGGAGTGCAGAGAGGAGTGCAGAGAGGAGTGCAGAGAGGAGTGCAGAGAGGAGTGCAGAGAGGAGTGCAGAGAGGAGTGCAGAGAGGAGTGCAGAGAGGAGTGCAGAGAGGGGAGTGCAGAGAGGAGTGCAGAGAGGAGTGCAGAGAGGAGTGCAAAGAGGAGTGCAGAGAGAGTGCAGAGAGGAGTGCAGAGAGGAGTGCAGAGAGGAGTGCAGAGAGGGGAGTGCAGAGAGGAGTGCAGAGAGGGGAGTGCAGAGAGGAGTGCAGAGAGGAGTGCAGAGAGGAGTGCAGAGAGGAGTGCAGAGAGGAGTGCAGAGAGGAGTGCAGAGAGGGGAGTGCAGAGAGGAGTGCAGAGAGGAGTGCAGAGAGGAGTGCAGAGAGGGGAGTGCAGATAGGAGTGCAGAGAGGAGTGCAGAGAGGAGTGCAGAGAGGAGTGCAGAGAGGAGTGCAGAGAGGAGTGCAGAGAGGAGTGCAGAGAGGAGTGCAGAGAGAGGGGAGTGCAGAGAGGAGTGCAGAGAGGGGAGTGCAGAGAGGAGTGCAGAGAGGAGTGCAGAGAGGAGTGCAGAGAGGAGTGCAGAGAGGGAGTGCAGAGAGGAGTGCAGAGAGGAGTGCAGAGAGGAGTGCAGAGAGGAGTGCAGAGAGGGAGTGCAGAGAGGAGTGCAGAGAGGAGTGCAGAGAGGAGTGCAGAGAGGAGTGCAGAGAGGAGTGCAGAGAGGAGTGCAGAGAGGAGTGCAGAGAGGGGAGTGCAGAGAGGAGTGCAGAGAGGAGTGCAGAGAGGAGTGCAAGAGGAGTGCAGAGAGGAGTGCAGAGAGGAGTGCAGAGAGGGGAGTGCAGAGAGGAGTGCAGAGAGGAGTGCAGAGAGGGGAGTGCAGAGAGGAGTGCAGAGAGGAGTGCAGAGAGGAGTGCAGAGAGGAGTGCAGAGAGGAGTGCACAGAGAGGAGTGCAGAGAGGAGTGCAGAGAGGAGTGCAGAGAGGAGTGCAGAGAGGGGAGTGCAAAGAGGAGTGCAGAGAGGAGTGCAGAGAGGAGTGCAGAGAGGAGTGCAGAGAGGAGTGCAGAGAGGAGTGCAGAGAGGGGAGTGCAGAGAGGAGTGCAGAGAGGAGTGCAGAGAGGAGTGCAGAGAGGAGTGCAGAGAGGAGTGCCGAGAGGAGTGCAGAGAGGAGTGCCGAGAGGAGTGCAGAGAGGAGTGCAGAGAGGAGTGCAGAGAGGAGTGCAGAGAGGGGAGTGCAGAGAGGAGTGCAGAGAGGAGTGCAGAGAGGAGTGCAGAGAGGGGAGTGCAGAGAGGAGTGCAGAGAGGAGTGCAGAGAGGGGAGTGCAGAGAGGAGTGCAGAGAGGAGTGCAGAGAGGAGTGCAGAGAGGAGTGCAGAGAGGAGTGCAGAGAGGGGAGTGCAGAGAGGAGTGCAGAGAGGAGTGCAGAGAGGAGTGCAGAGAGGAGTGCAGAGAGGAGTGCAGAGAGGAGTACAGAGAGGGGAGTGCAGAGAGGAGTGCAGAGAGGAGTGCAGAGAGGAGTGCAGAGAGGGGAGTGCAGAGAGGAGTGCAGAGAGGAGTGCAGAGAGGAGTGCAGAGAGGAGTGCAGAGAGGAGTGCAGAGAGGAGTGCAGAGAGGAGTGCAGAGAGGAGTGCAGAGAGGGGAGTGCAGAGAGGAGTGCAGAGAGGGGAGTGCAGAGAGTTGCAGAGAGGAGTGCAGAGAGGAGTGCAGAGAGGAGTGCAGAGAGGGAGTGCAGAGAGGAGTGCAGAGAGGAGTGCAGAGAGGGGAGTGCAGAGAGAGTGCAGAGAGGAGTGCAGAGAGGAGTGCAGAGAGGGGAGTGCAGAGAGGAGTGCAGAGAGGAGTGCAGAGAGGAGTGCAGAGAGGAGTGCAGAGAGGAGTGCAGAGAGGAGTGCAGAGAGGGGAGTGCAGAGAGGAGTGCAGAGAGGGGAGTGCAGAGAGGAGTGCAGAGAGGGGAGTGCAGAGAGGAGTGCAGAGAGGAGTGCAGAGAGGAGTGCAGAGAGGAGTGCAGAGAGGAGTGCAGAGAGGAGTGCAGAGAGGAGTGCAGAGAGGAGTGCAGAGAGGGGAGTGCAGAGAGGAGTGCAGAGAGGAGTGCAGAGAGGAGTGCAGAGAGGAGTGCAGAGAGGAGTGCAGAGAGAGTGCAGAGAGGGGAGTGCAGAGAGGAGTGCAGAGAGGAGTGCAGAGAGGGGAGTGCAGAGAGGAGTGCAGAGAGGAGTGCAGAGAGGAGTGCAAAGAGGAGTGCAGAGAGGAGTGCAGAGAGGAGTGCAGAGAGGAGTGCAGAGAGGAGTGCAGAGAGGAGTGCAGAGAGGGGAGTGCAGAGAGGAGTGCAGAGAGGAGTGCAGAGAGGGGAGTGCAGAGAGGAGTGCAGAGAGGAGTGCAGAGAGGAGTGCAAAGAGGAGTGCAGAGAGGAGTGCAGAGAGGAGTGCAGAGAGGGGAGTGCAGAGAGGAGTGCAGAGAGGAGTGCAGAGAGGAGTGCAGAGAGGGAGTGCAGAGAGGAGTGCAGAGAGGAGTGCAGAGAGGAGTGCAGAGAGGAGTGCAGAGAGGAGTGCAGAGAGGAGTGCAGAGAGGAGTGCAGAGAGGGGAGTGCAGAGAGGAGTGCAGAGAGGAGTGCAGAGAGGAGTGCAGAGAGGAGTGCAGAGAGGAGTGCAGAGAGGAGTGCAGAGAGGAGTGCAGAGAGGGGAGTGCAGAGAGGAGTGCAGAGAGGAGTGCAGAGAGGGGAGTGCAGAGAGGAGTGCAGAGAGGAGTGCAGAGAGGAGTGCAGAGAGGAGTGCAGAGAGGAGTGCACAGAGAGGAGTGCAGAGAGGAGTGCAGAGAGGAGTGCAGAGAGGAGTGCAGAGAGGGGAGTGCAGAGAGGAGTGCAGAGAGGAGTGCAGAGAGGAGTGCAGAGAGGAGTGCAGAGAGGAGTGCAGAGAGGAGTGCAGAGAGGGGAGTGCAGAGAGGAGTGCAGAGAGGAGTGCAGAGAGGAGTGCAGAGAGGAGTGCAGAGAGGAGTGCCGAGAGGAGTGCAGAGAGGAGTGCCGAGAGGAGTGCAGAGAGGAGTGCAGAGAGGAGTGCAGAGAGGAGTGCAGAGAGGGGAGTGCAGAGAGGAGTGCAGAGAGGAGTGCAGAGAGGAGTGCAGAGAGGGAGTGCAGAGAGGAGTGCAGAGAGGAGTGCAGAGAGGGGAGTGCAGAGAGGAGTGCAGAGAGGAGTGCAGAGAGGAGTGCAGAGAGGAGTGCAGAGAGGAGTGCAGAGAGGGGAGTGCAGAGAGGAGTGCAGAGAGGAGTGCAGAGAGGAGTGCAGAGAGGAGTGCAGAGAGGAGTGCAGAGAGGAGTGCAGAGAGGAGTGCAGAGAGGGGAGTGCAGAGAGGAGTGCAGAGAGGAGTGCAGAGAGGAGTGCAGAGAGGAGTGCAGAGAGGGGAGTGCAGATAGGAGTGCAGAGAGGAGTGCAGAGAGGAGTGCAGAGAGGAGTGCAGAGAGGAGTGCAGAGAGGAGTGCAGAGAGGAGTGCAGAGAGGAGTGCAGAGAGGGGAGTGCAGAGAGGAGTGCAGAGAGGGGAGTGCAGAGAGGAGTGCAGAGAGGAGTGCAGAGAGGAGTGCAGAGAGGAGTGCAGAGAGGAGTGCAGAGAGGAGTGCAGAGAGGAGTGCAGAGAGGAGTGCAGAGAGGAGTGCAGAGAGGGGAGTGCAGAGAGGAGTGCAGAGAGGAGTGCAGAGAGGAGTGCAGAGAGGAGTGCAGAGAGGAGTGCAGAGAGGAGTGCAGAGAGGAGTGCAGAGAGGGGAGTGCAGAGAGGAGTGCAGAGAGGAGTGCAGAGAGGAGTGCAGAGAGGAGTGCAGAGAGGAGTGCAGAGAGGAGTGCAGAGAGGGGAGTGCAGAGAGGAGTGCAGAGAGGAGTGCAGAGAGGGGAGTGCAGAGAGAGTGCAGAGAGGAGTGCAGAGAGGAGTGCAGAGAGAGTGCAGAGAGGAGTGCACAGAGAGGAGTGCAGAGAGGAGTGCAGAGAGGAGTGCAGAGAGGAGTGCAGAGAGGGAGTGCAGAGAGGAGTGCAGAGAGGAGTGCAGAGAGGAGTGCAGAGGGGTGCAGAGAGGAGTGCAGAGAGGAGTGCAGAGAGGGGAGTGCAGAGGAGTGCAGAGAGGAGTGCAAGAGAGAGTGCAGAGAGGAGTGCAGAGAGGAGTGCCGAGAGGAGTGCAGAGAGGAGTGCCGAGGAGTGCAGAGAGGAGTGCAGAGAGGAGTGCAGAGAGGAGTGCAGAGAGGGGAGTGCAGAGAGGAGTGCAGAGAGGAGTGCAGAGGAGGAGTGCAGAGAGGGGAGTGCAGAGAGGAGTGCAGAGAGGAGTGCAGAGAGGGGAGTGCAGAGAGGAGTGCAGAGAGGAGTGCAGAGAGGAGTGCAGAGAGGAGTGCAGAGAGGGGAGTGCAGAGAGGAGTGCAGAGAGGAGTGCAGAGAGGGGAGTGCAGAGAGGAGTGCAGAGAGGAGTGCAGAGAGGAGTGCAGAGAGGAGTGCAGAGAGGAGTGCAGAGAGGGGAGTGCAGAGAGGAGTGCAGAGAGGAGTGCAGAGAGGGGAGTGCAGAGAGGAGTGCAGAGAGGAGTGCAGAGAGGAGTGGAGTGCAGAGAGGAGTGCAGAGAGGAGTGCAGAGAGGAGTGCAGAGAGGAGTGCAGAGAGGAGTGCAGAGAGGAGTGCAAAGAGGAGTGCAGAGAGGAGTGCAGAGAGGAGTGCAGAGAGGAGTGCAGAGAGGAGTGCAGAGAGGAGTGCAGAGAGGAGTGCAGAGAGGAGTGCAGAGAGGGGAGTGCAGAGAGGAGTGCAGAGAGGAGTGCAGAGAGGGGAGTGCAGAGAGGAGTGCAGAGAGGGGAGTGCAGAGAGGAGTGCAGAGAGGAGTGCAGAGAGGAGTGCAGAGAGGGTGCAGAGAGGAGTGCAGAGAGGAGTGCAGAGAGGGAGTGCAGAGAGGAGTGCAGAGAGGAGTGCAGAGAGGAGTGCAGAGAGGAGTGAGAGGAGTGCAGAGAGGAGTGCAGAGAGGAGTGCAGAGAGGAGTGCAGAGAGGAGTGCAGAGAGGAGTGCAGAGAGGGAGTGCAGAGAGAGAGGGAGTGCAGAGAGGAGTGCAGAGAGGGAGTGCAGAGAGGAGTGCAGAGAGGGGAGTGCAGAGAGGGAGAGGCGTGCAGAGAGAGTGCAGAGAGGGGAGTGCAGAGAGGAGTGCAGAGAGGAGTGCAGAGAGGAGTGCAGAGAGGAGTGCAGAGAGGAGTGCAGAGAGGAGTGCAGAGAGGAGTGCAGAGAGGAGTGCAGAGAGGGGAGTGCAGAGAGGAGTGCAGAGAGGAGTGCAGAGAGGAGTGCAGAGAGGAGTGCAGAGAGGAGTGCAGAGAGGAGTGCAGAGAGGGGAGTGCAGAGAGGAGTGCAGAGAGGAGTGCAGAGAGGAGTGCAGAGAGGAGTGCAGAGAGGAGTGCAGAGAGGAGTGCAGAGAGGAGTGCAGAGAGGAGTGCAGAGAGGAGTGCAGAGAGGGGAGTGCAGAGAGGAGTGCAGAGAGGGGAGTGCAGAGAGGGGTGCAGAGAGGAGTGCAGAGAGGAGTGCAGAGAGGAGTGCAGAGAGGAGTGCAGAGAGGAGTGCAGAGAGGAGTGCAGAGAGGAGTGCAGAGACGAGTGCAGAGAGAGAGGAGTGCAGAGAGGAGTGCAGAGAGGAGTGCAGAGAGGGGAGTGCAGAGAGGAGTGCAGAGAGAGGAGTGCAGAGAGGGGAGTGCAGAGAGGAGTGCAGAGAGGAGTGCAGAGAGGAGTGCAGAGAGGAGTGCAGAGAGGAGTGCAGAGAGGAGTGCAGAGAGGAGTGCAGAGAGGAGTGCAGAGAGGAGTGCAGAGAGGAGTGCAGAGAGGGGAGTGCAGAGAGGAGTGCAGAGAGGAGTGCAGAGAGGAGTGCAGAGAGGAGTGCAGCGAGAGGAGTGCAGAGAGGAGTGCAGAGAGGAGTGCAGAGAGGAGTGCAGAGAGGGGAGTGCAGAGAGGAGTGCAGAGAGGAGTGCAGAGAGGAGTGCAGAGAGGAGTGCAGAGAGGAGTGCAGAGAGGGGAGTGCAGAGAGGAGTGCAGAGAGGAGTGCAGAGAGGAGTGCAGAGAGGAGTGCAGAGAGGAGTGCAGAGAGGAGTGCAGAGAGGAGTGCAGAAGGGGAGTGCAGAGAGGAGTGCAGAGAGGAGTGCAGAGAGGAGTGCAGAGAGGAGTGCAGAGAGGAGTGCAGAGAGGAGTGCAGAGAGGAGTGCAGAAGGGGAGTGCAGAGAGGAGTGCAGAGAGGAGTGCAGAGAGGGGGATGCAGAGAGGAGTGCAGAGAGGAGTGCAGAGAGGAGTGCAGAGAGGAGTGCAGAGAGGAGTGCAGAGAGGAGTGCAGAGAGGAGTGCAGAGAGGAGTGTGCAGAGAGGAGTGCAGAGAGGAGTGCAGAGAGGAGTGCAGAGAGGAGTGCAGAGAGGAGTGCAGAGAGGGGAGTGCAGAGAGGAGTGCAGAGAGGAGTGCAGAGAGGAGTGCAGAGAGGAGTGCAGAGAGGAGTGCAGAGAGGAGTGCAGAGAGGAGTGCAGAGAGGAGTGCAGAGAGGAGTGCAGAGAGGAGTGCAGAGAGGAGTGCAGAGAGGAGTGCAGAGAGGAGTGCAGAGAGGGGAGTGCAGAGGAGGAGTGCAGAGAGGAGTGCAGAGAGGAGTGCAGAGAGGAGTGCAGAGAGAGTGCAGAGAGGAGTGCAGAGAGGAGTGCAGAGAGGAGTGCAGAGAGGAGTGCAGAGAGGAGTGCAGAGAGGAGTGCAGAGAGGAGTGCAGAGAGGAGTGCAGAGAGGGGAGTGCAGAGAGGAGTGCAGAGAGGAGTGCAGAGGGGAGTGCAGAGAGGAGTGCAGAGAGGAGTGCAGAGAGGAGTGCAGAGAGAGTGCAGAGAGGAGTGCAGAGAGGAGTGCAGAGAGGAGTGCAGAGAGAGGAGTGCAGAGAGGAGTGCAGAGAGGGGAGTGCAGAGAGGAGTGCAGAGAGGAGTGCAGAGAGGAGTGCAGAGAGGGGAGTGCAGAGAGGAGTGCAGAGAAGGAGTTGCAAGAGAGGAGTGCAGAGAGGAGTGCAGAGAGGAGTGCAGAGAGGAGTGCAGAGAGGAGTGCAGAGAGGAGTGCAGAGAGGAGTGCAGCAGAGAGGAGTGCAGAGAGGAGTGCAGAGAGGGTGGGAGAGAGTGCAGAGAGGAGTGCAGAGAGGAGTGCAGAGAGGAGTGCAGAGAGGAGTGCAGAGAGGAGTGCAGAGAGGAGTGCAGAGAGGAGTGCAGAGAGGAGTGCAGAGAGGAGTGCAGAGAGGAGTGCAGAGAGGAGTGCAGAGAGGAGTGCAGAGAGGAGTGCCAGAGAGGAGTGCAGAGAGGAGTGCAGAGAGGGGAGTGCAGAGAGGGAGTGCAGAGAGGAGTGCAGAGAGGAGTGCAGAGAGGAGTGCAGAGAGGAGTGCAGAGAGGAGTGCAGAGAGGGAGTGCAGAGAGGAGTGCAGAGAGGAGTGCAGAGAGGAGTGCAGAGAGGAGTGCAGAGAGGAGTGCAGAGAGGAGTGCAGAGAGGAGTGCAGAGAGGAGTGCAGAGAGGAGTGCAGAGAGGAGTGCAGAGAGGAGTGCAGAGAGGAGTGCAGAGAGGAGTGCAGAGAGGAGTGCAGAGAGGAGTGCAGAGAGGGAGTGCAGAGAGGAGTGCAGAGAGGAGTGCAGAGAGGAGTGCAGAGGAGTGCAGAGAGGAGTGCAGAGAGGAGTGCAGAGAGGGGAGTGCAGAGAGGAGTGCAGAGAGGAGTGCAGAGAGGAGTGCAGAGAGGAGTGCAGAGAGGAGTGCAGAGAGGAGTGCAGAGAGGAGTGCAGAGAGGAGTGCAGAGAGGAGTGCAGAGAGGAGTGCAGAGAGGAGTGCAGAGAGGAGTGCAGAGAGGGGAGTGCAGAGAGGAGTGCAGAGAGGAGTGCAGAGAGGAGTGCAGAGAGGAGTGCAGAGAGGAGTGCAGAGAGGAGTGCAGAGAGGAGTGCAGAGAGGAGTGCAGAGAGGAGTGCAGAGAGGAGTGCAGAGAGGAGTGCAGAGAGGAGTGCAGAGAGGAGTGCAGAGAGGAGTGCAGAGAGGAGTGCAGAGAGGAGTGCAGAGAGGAGTGCAGAGAGGAGTGCAGAGAGGAGTGCAGAGAGGAGTGCAGAGAGGAGTGCAGAGAGGAGTGCAGAGAGGAGTGCAGAGAGGAGTGCAGAGAGGAGTGCAGAGAGGAGTGCAGAGAGGAGTGCAGAGAGGAGTGCAGAGAGGAGTGCAGAGAGGAGTGCAGAGAGGAGTGCAGAGAGGAGTGCAGAGAGGAGTGCAGAGAGGGGAGTGCAGAGAGGAGTGCAGAGAGGAGTGCAGAGAGGAGTGCAGAGAGGAGTGCAGAGAGGAGTGCAGAGAGGAGTGCAGAGAGGAGTGCAGAGAGGAGTGCAGAGAGGAGTGCAGAGAGGAGTGCAGAGAGGAGGAGTGCAGAGAGGAGTGCAGAGAGGAGTGCAGAGAGGAGTGCAGAGAGGAGTGCAGAGAGGAGTGCAGAGAGGAGTGCAGAGAGGAGTGCAGAGGAGGGGAGTGCAGAGAGGAGTGCAGAGAGGAGTGCAGAGAGGAGTGCAGAGAGGAGTGCAGAGAGGAGTGCAGAGAGGAGTGCAGAGAGGAGTGCAGAGAGGAGTGCAGAGAGGAGGAGTGCAGAGAGGAGTGCAGAGAGGAGTGCAGAGAGGAGTGGAGAGAGGAGTGAGAGAGAGTGAGTGAGAGAGTGGGAGTGCAGAGAGGAGTGCAGAGAGGGGAGTGCAGAGAGGAGTGCAGAGAGGAGTGCAGAGAGGATACTGCATATCAATGAAGTACTCTTCATCACTGGATGGTCCAAGTGCTTCACCTTGTTCTAGTGGTCAACACAATATTCTGGACGTGGTTTCGTGGTGTAGTTGGTTATCACGTCAGTCTAACACACTGAAGGTCTCCGGTTCAAGTCCGGGCGAAGCCACTTTTGAGGCAGCTGTATGTGCTTTGATTTCTTCTCCTCTCTCTGAGGCTTTCACACTCGAGTGTGGAGCTGCGCCTGCTACAGTTTCTCTTTCCTTTTCACCAACCTCCAATCTACTGTCTCGTACTGTGTGTTTTCACACCCTATGTGGCAGGGCTTCTCATCAGCACCTGGTGATTGCCTGGCGTTCATGTGCTTCCGAGCAGCAGGGGAGAGCAGCGGGGAGGAGCGGCGGGCATGGGTGGAGAGGGGCGTGGCTGCTGCTGTGACTGAGAGTGCACGGGCAAGGCTGCGAGAGCTGCAGTAGCAGCAAGGCTTGGCGTTGATGTGCAGAGGTTGGGGTGGTAACAGGCATGTTCTCGTGCTTCCGAGCATCAACAGAAAACAGTGAGGGTGGAGAGGAGCGTGGTGGCTTCTGTGAGTGAGTGCACGGGCACGACTGCAAGAGCTGTGGTATCGTAACAGCAAGCCTTGGCGGGGAAAGGGTAATGATGAGATCCAGCCTAGATGCCGTCGCTCCAACCTATTGGTCCCATACCGGTACTTTATTCCACAGATGGTATTTCCACCAACTAGATCAACTGTGTCCCACATACCCAGGGTCTTCCTCGTGTCGTAACTCTTGCCTGGCCGCCGCATCATAATTGACAAAGCAAACAGCTACCATGCATTCATCATACGGTACTGCTCGGTGAATAAATTATTGTTTTGTTCACACTAATTTATGCGCCTGGAACAGCCTTATCTCGGGTCGGGAGCAAACACACATGGTAGGCAGGCAGGCAGACAGCGGGTAACCAGTTCTTCCCATGCCGCATCACAGGTCGATCGTAGATGCTTTCTTCCACGTCCCTCAGGGCTTGAAAGTGGGTGCTTGCCTCTCGCCCCCCCATGTAGCTTCATACAGTAGCCTCGCCCCTAGGTCAGCATATGGGTCCTCCTCTCGCTTCCTCAGCAGGTACTCTATCCCTGCCTCCACCTCTCCCTTCACATGCGCGTACAGCGCTGCAGCTGCCTGCTGGTCTGTCAACACCTCCCGCATGCCTGGTGGGAGCAGGGGAGGAAAGGGGAATAGAGCGTCCGGGTGGGGTGGGGAGGGCAGTGGTAAGGGTGTGAGGAGAGAGTCAGGTACTCTATCCCTGCCTCCACCTCCCCCTTCACGTGTGCGTACAAAGCTTCTGCTGCCTGCTGGTCTGTCAACACCTCTCGCATGCGAGCGAGTTGGGGGAGGAGAGGGGAAGAGGGGACGAAGGGAGAGAGGAGGAGAGATGAAAGGAGAGGAGGAGGGAGAAGTAGCACACTTTACTCGGCGGCACCGCCGTTGCCAGAAAGCACATCAAGGCATGTTTGAACGAGTCAATGCATGGATTGTGGTGAGAGGCGAGGCATACCGGCAGTGCGGATGGGGGCGCCAAACTTGATGTACATGCGGTTTATCTTTCTCGGGCAGCACTAATCGTACCAGAGCATAACAAGTGGTTGAGGTGTGTTGAGGCGTGTTGAGGTGTGTTGAGAAAGCGAGCGACATGATGGTGGTGAGAGGAGAGGCGTACCGGCAGTGCGGATGGGGGCGCCAAACTTGATGTAGAGGCGGTTGATCTTGTTGGGCAGCACCACTGGCGCCAGAAATCGCTCCACTGCCGGCCCTGCTATCTCGTCCTCCCTGGTGGGTTGAGAGGAGGTTTTGGGAGAAAGGTTGGGAGGAGGGATGGGAGGAGAGATGGGAGGAGAGATGGGAGGAGAGATGGGAGGAGAGATGGGAGGAGAGATGGGAGGAGAGATGGGAGGAGAGATGGGAGGAGAGATGGGGGGAGAGATGGGAGGAGAGATGGGAGGAGAGCAACACGAGAGGTGGCTTAGATGCGTAGGGGCATGAGAGTCAAGGGACAGCTGCTTGAGCAGAAACGATCAGGCTTCAGACTCTCCAAGGCGAGTCCCAGCCACAGCGAGCACAGCACAATCACTGACCTGACTGCTGACTTGAGCTCTTGAAGTACACAGTACATTCATCCACGCACCTGACTTTAGGCACATAGTCCATGAACTGCTTGATCTTCTCGCCATACACAAGTGAAATGAGTTTGTTGTAAACTCTCTCCGAGCTGACCTGGCTCAAGGCACACTTTGTGAAGTCTCGACTTTTGACCAGCCTCAGCACGCACCTAACTTTGGGCACATAGTCCATAAACGCCTTGATCTGCTCCCCGTACACTGATAGAGCTGACCTAACACGAGGCACACAGCCTGACATGGACTCTTGAGGTGCTCCAGCACTTACGCACCTGACTTTAGGCACATACTCCATGAAAGCCTTGATTTGCGCTCCATACACGGGTGAAGTGACTTTGTTGTGATCTCTCTCGAAGCTGGCCTGGCTCGAGGCACACCTTGTGAAATTTGAACTCTTCACCTGCCTCAGCACGCACCTGACTTTAGGCACATAGTCCATGAACTCCTTGATCTGTTCCCCATACACGGGCACATTGGGCAGCTCGTCTGCATCTAACACAAACTGATGGGCATGGTGGCGATGGTGTGATGTGGAAGATGGAAAAACGACAGAGGGAAGACAGGGGGATGCATGAACTCCTTGATCCGTTCCCCATACACGGGCACGTTAGGCAGCTCGTCTGCATCCAACACAAATGGTGTGGGGGTGGGATGATGGACGGGGAAGAGAGAAAAACGATGGCATGTTGTCACAGCATGGCACAGTGTAATCGCATGAATTGGTGTGCTTGCATTGCGAAATGGCACAATGAAGGCATGGCACATGTGTCATGCATACTGTAATGGGAAGGCGATACATCAAATAAACACCATCTCAAGCATGCTCTGTGGAACACCATCTCAAGCATGCTCTGTGGAACACCATCTCAAGCATGCTCTGTGAAACCACATGCTGCATTGCATTGCATACAAGCACATTCGCTGAGTAACCCCATCACTCACGTTGTAAGCATCATCAACTCCCACCGATGCAAAGGGAATGATCACCGCTCCAAACTTGACCTGCACGGACAGCACATGACACACATGGCACATGCAACATGTGGCATGGCAACAAATAGAGACGTGGGGGCAGGTAAACCAGGTAAACCAGTGAGTGACCTGAGAATGGACTCAACCACCTCCATACATTATCAGTATTCGTGCTAGCACACCGGCATGTGGCTGACAAATGAGTGCTGGTGCCGGTGCAATGCTAACCATTCGACAAGTTGGTAGCTAGCATTGCACGCGCGACTCACCAACATGGAGCAATCGCAACACGGTGACTCACCGCCATTCGCACGAACTCAGCGCGGTGTGGCCAGAAGAGCCTGTACTCCTCGCCCTGGGGTGTCAAGTGGCATGGAATGGTGTGGCGGGGCATGACATGGGATGACACGTCACATGCAGCAAGTGCAGCAAAACGTTTTTTTTTTTTTTTTTTTTTTTTTTTGGGTATCTGGCTGAGAAGAAAGCATGGTGTAGCACTGGGAGAAAGGCATGACTAATTGCCCGCCGCCACTCACCCGCTTCCTCAGCGCCTCCCGCATGCCTCCGGGGAACAACAGCGCCGCCTGGTCCATCAGGCGGTGCAGCACCCTGGGCGTCACTGTCACGGCTCCAAACAGATGGAGCAGCGGTGCTCCTCAAGAGTCAATACCCCAGCAGCAACAAGCTTCACTCACCCGTTTCCTGAGCGCCTCTCGCATGCCCCCTGGGAACAGCAGCGCAGCTTGGTCCGTGGCCATCAGGCGATGCAGCACTCTAGGCGTCACCGGCACGGCTCCGAAGAGGCGGAACTCCTCCGCCATGGGGTTGTGCTCGATGGACCCGGGGAACTGAGAGGGGGCGCAGGGAAAGCGAAGAACAGATGGAGCGTGAAAGGTAGTGATAGGGCCCTTGGGAGGTGTCGGGGCACGGCGCCCAAGAGACGAAACTCCTTCGCCATGGGGTTGTGCTCTATGGATCCTGAGAACTGGGCGGTTACACAGAGAGGGAGAGATGAGGGAGCGAGGGGGAGCACGAGCATGGGTGTGACAGGGGGCCCTTTGGGGGAAGAGTCACCGGCATGGCGCCCAAGAGACGAAACTCCTTCGCCATGGGGTTGTGCTCGATGGATCCTGAGAACTGGGCGGTTACATAGGGAGGGGGAGATGAGGGAGCGAGGGGGAAGGAGGGAGCAAGGGCACGAGCATGGGTGTGACAGGGGGCCCTTGGAGGAAGAGTCACCGGCACGGCGCCGAAGAGACGAAACTCCTCCACCATGGGGTTGTGCTCGATGGATCCGGGGAACTGGGAGGGGGCGAGAGGGAGGGAGAGGGCAAGGGTTGTGGGAGGGGGAGAGGAAGGGACTGTCTGTGTGCGAGCAATTGAGCAATGAGGGAAGTGCGCACGGTCTGTGTCCCGTGCATATGTCTCGTGGTTTTGGTCACCCGCAAAGGGCAGGCAATAGGTGGGTACAGATGCCTTAGCCTCGTCATTCTCAGGTCACTCACATGCCATGGCCTCGTCATCCTCAGGTCACTCACCATGCTGAGGGCGACGGGGTGTGTGAGTCCCCTGAGAGGCACTCCGTGTGCGAGCAGCTCAGAAACGAGAGGAGAGAGGTCTGGCGCGTATGTCTGGTGGTTCGGGTTTCCCGCAAAGAACAGTAGCTGGCTACAGATGCCATGGCACACTCCCCAGGCCACTCACCATGCCAAGAGCAACGGGGTGTGTGAGTCCTCTTAGTGGCACTCCGTGTGCGAGCAGCTCGGCTATCAAAGGGGAGAGGTCGGGCGCGTAGGTCTGGTGGTTGCCCACGAAGAGCAGCGGGCGCTCGTCCGTTGGTATGCCTTCCAGCCCCAGCACTATGCGCGCAGATGAGGACGACGGATGGGCGGAATGAGAGGAGGAAGAGGAAGAGGAGGAAGAGGAGGAAGAGGAGGAAGAGGAAGGAGAGGAGGAGTTTCCAAGGACTCTTTGGAGATCTGTGGTGTCTCGTTCGTCATCCACCACTGTGGACAGGAACACGGGCGAGCACATGAGACGAATCGTGCCGTCCATGCCGCCCTTGCTGCGCGCAAACTCCTCCACGGTGGGCAGCACGAAGCCGTCCACTTGAGGGTCCTCCCGCCGGCTGCTGCTCCGCCTGTAGACCCCCGCGCCCTTGATGATGCTCGCCAGGTCTATGTCTGCCTCCTGTGGTTGGGGTAAAAAGAAGGAGGGAGGGAGGGAGGGAGGGAGGGAGGGAGGGAGGGAGGGAGGGAGGGAGGGAGGGAGGGAGGGAGGGAGGGAGGGAGGGAGGGAGGGAGGGAGGGAGGGAGGGAGGGAGGGAGGGAGGGAGGGAGGGGGCAGTGGCAGGTTGCTGAATGCACGAAGCTGCCCACTTGAGGGTCCTCCCGCCTGCTGCTGCTCCGCCGGTACACGCCCGCTCCCTTGATGATGCTCGCCAAATCAATGTCCGCCTCCTGTGGTTGGGGTAAGAAGAGGGAAGGACAGAGGTGAGGGCAGGTAGCAGTGGGAGTGGGTGGCTGTTGGCTGGATGCGCGCCCAATGCCCTGCTGCTGCTGCTCTGCATGTACATGCCCGCACCCTTTTATACCCTTGTGCACCCATCCCTCAGTGTGCCCATCCGCCTGTTCAGCCGACTTTTGAGTTGACTCAAAAGTTGCATGTTGCTGCTCCGCATGTACATGCCCGCAACCGCAACCTGGATGATGCGCGTCTATGCCCTTGTGCACCCATCCCTCAGTGTGCCCATCCCTCAGTGTGCCCATCCCTCAGTGTGCCCATCCCTCAGTGTGCCCATCCCTCAGTGTGCCCATCCCTCAGTGTGCCCATCCGCCTGTCCAGCCTTCCCACCACATCACACCACCCCATCCTGCTCACAAGCAGCAGCGTGTGGCCCGAGTTGGGGCACTGCTTCACTATCGTGGTGCAGGCAGCCATCTCCTTGTGCAGCCGCTTTGCCTCCTCCTCACTCGGCAGCATCTGGTCCTCACCGCTGGTGGTGGGCAGACAGGGCAAGAGAGGGAAAAAGAGGCAAAGAGAGGGAGATGCAGAGGGCAGAACAAACAGGCGGAGAGAGCATTTGGTCCTTGTGCAGCCGCTTCGCCTCCTCCTCACTCGGCAGCATCTGGTCCTCACCGCTGGTGGTGGGTGGGCAGGTAGAGCAGGTAAGGGAAAATAGGTGTTAGAGAAAGACAGAGAGGTGTTAGAGAAAGACAGAGAGGTGTTAGAGAAAGACAGAGAGGTGTTAGAGAAAGACAGAGAGGTGTTAGAGAAAGACAGAGAGGTGTTAGAGAAAGACAGAGAGGTGTTAGAGAAAGACAGAGAGGTGTTAGAGAAAGACAGAGAGGTGTTAGAGAAAGACAGAGAGGTGTTAGAGAAAGACAGAGAGGTGTTAGAGAAAGACAGAGTCTTCATAGACAGAGAGCGCAGGAAGGACCAGAGTAACAAGGGTGGGTGTGCTTCGTAGAATCTTCACTTCCTCCCGGCAGCAATGTCAACCCACTCACTCACCCGGCAACAATAAGCGTGGTGTGCTTAATGTCTTTGAGTACCGGCTCCACGGCAGCACTGCCCTCCTCCAGCAGGTCCAGCTTCCACTCGAGCGTCGCCTGGGGGAGAATGTCCGCCACGAGCTGCGTGGGGATGGAGTGAGGGGTGCGGGTGGTGTGGGAAGGAAAACAAGGAGAGTGCTTGCTGGCAGCTGGGGAGTACCGGCTCGCTTGAGACCACCACGTTCCAGGTGCACAAGGGTGCACAAGGGTGCATAAGGGTGCACAAGGGTGCACAAGGGTGCATAAGGGCGCAGCCAAGGGATTCAATCGAAAGAAGAGAATCTCGCGAGGAGAATGGGCAGTATGTCGTACAGGCAGAGAGGGCAGAAGGAGCAAAATAGAGTCTCTCGGGCAGGATGGGCAGAAGGAGAGCAATAGAGTCTCACGGGTAGGATGGGCAGAAGGAGAGCAATAGAGTCTCACGGGCAGGATGGGCAGCAGGTCGAGTAGGTTCTGCCTGAGCTGCAGCAGACGGTCAACAGGAGAGGCGTCCAGCGGCACTCGGCCTGATGCCATGCGGATAGGGTTGCCTGGGAGGGGAAAGGGGTGAGGATGGGGGTGTAGAGAGGGGTGAGAGGTGGAGTGACAGTGAGTAGTGTGGTGAGGCAAGACGTCCAGAGGCGATGCCACGCATTCAGGATTGCCTGGAAGGAGGGGAGGCGGGGAAAAGGCAATCGAGGAGGAGGGGTTTGGAGGTGTCTTAGGTGTTAGGTGAGTAGTGTGGTGAGGCGAGGCGGGTGGAAGCAGGTGGGTGCATGGGCTGCACATGCGGAATGGCTTGCAAGGACAAGTGCGCAGAGGGGAGAATGGGGAAGAACAGCATGGGAGGGGGATGAGAGGCGCAGCAACGGCTTACCCATGGGGCACGTGGCATGGGGCATGGGGCGCGTGGCATGGGGCATGGGGCACGTGGCATGGGGCATGGGGCACGTGGCATGGGGCATGGGGCACGTGGCATGGGGCATGGGGCACGTGGCATGGGGCATGGGGCACGTGGCATGGGGCATGGGGCACGTGGCATGGGGCATGGGGCACGTGGCATGGGGCATGGGGCATGGGGCATGGGGCATGGGGCATGGGGGCTTACCCATGGTGAAGCTGAGGAGGTAGGGGAAGACACGGTAGACGTCCGGAGGGATGGAGCGCAGCACGGGGATCAATGGGTGCAGCGGCGAGCGTGGGAAGCTCGTTGCTGGAAGGGGGGAGGGGGAGAGGGGGACAGATAGGGGATAGGGGGAGGGGGGTGGGGGAAAGAGGGGGACGGGGACGATAGAGGAGGTGGGATGGAGCGCAGCACGGGGATCAATGGGTGCAGTGGCGAGCGTGGGAAGCTGGTTGCTGCAGAGGCAAGAGGGAGGCGGACAGGTGGATGGGGGAGGGGAGGGGGAGGGGAGGGGGAGGGAAGGGGAAGAGAGCAGGAGGATGAGCGGGGAAGGAGTGGGTGGGAGAGGCAGGGGGCAGGTGAAGGAAAGGAAAAGGCACCAGGATAAACAAGTGTGCCGAAGTTGGTTGGTTGCATAACGAGAGAGGTGGAAGAGGAGGGAGGAGGGCGAGGCGCTTACCAGGGTTAACGAGCACGAGGGTGATGGGCAGCTAGGGGTTCCGGGCAGACACAGCGACGGCAGGCAGTGCGCAAGGACTCTTTCAGGAGGAAGAGCGCGCGGGAGGAGGGTGTGGTGTGAGGAGAGGAGTGTCTGTATGTTGAATCGCGTACCAGGGTTGACGAGCACGAGAGTGATGGGCAGCTTTGGGTTCCGGGCAGACACAGCGAGGGCGAGCAGCGCGCCAAAGGACTCCCCCAGCAGGAAGAGCGCGCGCGAGGGGTTCTGCTTGTGCTCCCTCACCACCTCCTCCTCCACCAAGTCGACCAGGCGAGTGAAGTCCGTGCGGTCGGACAGAGGCACGTGCAGACAGGTCACCTCGAACAGCCTGGGGGTGTGTGGGTGGGGGAGTAGCATCACCGATGGGAGATGGCATGGCAGGGAAGGGGGGAGTGGCAGGTTGGTTGATGGGGGAAGTGCAGGCGGTGCTCCCTCACCACCTCCTCCTCCACCAGGTCAACGAGGCGAGTGAAGTCCGTGCGGTCAGATAGAGGCACGGGCAGACACGTCACCTCAAACAACCTGGGGGGTGTGGGGGGCGGGGCGGTGTCAAGATATGACCTTTGAGTGAAAATCAGTGAGTTATTATGGGCTAAATTACTGCGCATCACCCTGAAGCTTGAGCGCACCTTGAGCGCACCTTGAGCGCACCTTGAGCGCACGTTGAGTGCCCAGCTGTTGATCACCTTGGGTTGTCCGGGCGCGAGCATACCTGGCGAGTGTCTTGTGGTGCAGCTGCAGGCCAAACCCCGTTCCCTCAATGCCTGCACGCAGCACAAGAGTAGTATACACATCAGCATCAGCATCACCATCAGCATCAGCATCAGCATCAGAATTAGCAATAGCATCAGCAACAGCATCAGAATTAGCAGCAAACAATCAGCATTAGCATCAGCATCAGCATCAGCATCAGCATTAGCATCAGCATCAGCATCAGCATCAGCATCAGCATTAGCATCAGCATCAGCATTAGCATCAGCATCAGCATCAGCATCAGCATCAGCATCAGCAATAGCATCAGCATCAGCATCAGAATTAGCAGCAAACAATCAGCATCAGCATCAGCATCAACATCAGCATCAGCATCAGCATCAGCATTAGCATCAGCATCAGCATCAGCATCAGCATCACCATGAGCATGAGCAACAGCATCAGCATTAGCATCAGCAGCAGCACCAGCATCAGCATCAGCATCAGCATCGGCATCAGCATCAGCATCAGCATCAGCATCAGTATCAGCATCAGCATCAGCATCAGCATCAGCATGAGCATCAGCATCAGCATTAGCATCAGCATCAGCATCAGCATCAGCATTAGCATCAGCATCAGCATCAGCAGCAGCATCAGCATCAGCATCAGCATCAGCATCAGCATTAGCATCAGCATCAGCATCAGCATCAGCATCAGCATGAGCATCAGCATTAGCATCAGCAGCGGCATCAGCATGAGCATCAGCATCAGCATCAGCATCGGCATCAGCATCAGCATCAGCATCAGCATCAGCATCAGCATCAGCATTAGCATCAGCATCAGCATCAGCATCAGCATGAGCATCAGCATCAGCATCAGCATCAGCATGAGCATCAGCATCAGCATCAGCATCAGCGTCAGCATCAGCATCAGCGGCAGTATCAGCATCAGCATCAGCATCAGCATCAGCATGAGCATGAGCATCAGCATCAGCATCAGCATCAGCATTAGCATCAGCATCAGCATCAGCATCAGCATTAGCATCAGCATCAGCATCAGCATCAGCATCAGCATCAGCATCAGTATCAGCATCAGTATCAGCATCAGCATCAGCATCAGCATCAGCATGAGCATGAGCATGAGCATGAGCATTAGCATCAGCATCAGCATTAGCAGCAAACAATCAGCATCAGCATCAGCATCAGCATCAGAATCAGCATCAGCATCAGCATTAGCATCAGCATCAGCATCAGCATCAGCATCAGCATTAGCATCAGCATCAGCATCAGCATCAGCATCAGCATGAGCATCAGCATCAGCATTAGCATCAGCAGCAGCATCAGCATGAGCATGAGCATGAGCATGAGCATCAGCATGAGCATGAGCATGAGCATGAGCATCAGCATCAGCATCAGCATTAGCATCAGCATCAGCATCAGCATCAGCGTCAGCATCAGCATCAGCGGCAGTATCAGCATCAGCATCAGCATCAGCATCAGCATCAGCATCAGCATTAGCATCAGCATTAGCATCAGCATCAGCATCAGCATTAGCATCAGCATCAGCATCAGCATCAGCATCAGCATCAGCATCAGCATCAGCATCAGCATCAGCATCAGCATCAGTATCAGCATCAGCATCAGCATCAGCATCAGTATCAGCATCAGCATCTGCATCAGCATCAGCATCAGCATCAGCATCAGTATCAGCATCAGCATGAGCATGAGCATCAGTATCAGCATCACTATCAGCATCAGTATCAGTATCAACATTAGCATCAGTATCAGCATGAGCATGAGCATCAGTATCAGCATCACTATCAGCATCAGTATCAGTATCAACATTAGCATCAGTATGAGCATGAGCATCAGCATCAGCAGAGAACAATCAGCGTGTCATCAACCATCAACTCTGAACCAAGGACGAGCGACAACTCTGCAGGTACGCAGCACCTTCATCACCGCATACAGACATCTCTACACGGCCCACACCAGCTCCCTCACACCAACTCTTGAATCTCCAGCCATCCGCCTTCAACCCCCCTCATCCTCCCCCCCCATCACACTCATCTTCTCGTTCCGCTCATAATCATCCCGTCTTCCATGCCCATCCCACATACCACTCAAAGCTTCCCTCTTACCCGCGCCCCTCGCTCTCCGCGTTCCCCCACCTGGAAGGAAGAAGAGGCGCGGAAGCAGCCCCTCGTCGCTGGGCGGAACGGCATCCGCGGGGCACAAGAACCGCGGAGGCCCGCTCTCCGCCTTCTCCGCCCCGCGCTCTGCGCTCCCCGCGCCTGCGCTGCTATCAACGGCCGCCCCCGCAGATCCTGGGAAAATCGACTCCATGAACGGGGGGACGGGCAGGGGGAGCGGCGGCAGGGGGACGGGCAGGGGAAGCTGGGGGAAGGGCAGCGGGAGCGGGGGAAAGGGCAAGGGGGAAGGCGCAGCAGATGCAGTGCTGCTCGCGCGGGATTGGCCGCCTTGATCCCCCTGAATGACTTCTTGCACGGCGCGCAGGTAGTCGAACACGTCCGGCGGAATGTGCTCCTTCCGCACGTCCTTCACGCGCGCGTATCTCGCGCGCACCGCCCTCGTCCGCTCCCGCATCGCTGCGCGCATCGCCGCCCGCTCCCTCTCCGCCTCCCCCTCCCCGTTTACCCCCCGCGTGCCTTTCGCGCTGCCGTTGGTTGCGGATCCGTTTGTAAGGGGACGCGCGGAGCCATTCGGCGGATATGTATCGGCGGAAGCAATAGCAACGGAAGCGCTGTCAAGCGTGACGCTGCCGTTGGGGCTACGCACGGGGGAGGGACTGGCGAAATCGGCAGTGCTATTGCTATTAAGCGCGCGCTCGATCCTCGACGCGGGAATCTGCGCAGTTGCGGTGATGCGCATGCGGCGAGGAGCTCTGCGCGCGAAGTCGCGGGAAAGGGGGCGGATTTGCGGGTCCGCGGCGCAAAGTGCGCTCGCCTGGCGATGACACAGCATGGCGGAGGAGATTCAGGGAACTAGCGTCGAGTAAAGGAGGGATTGTGGTCGGCTGGGCCGGAGCGACCAGCAGCGTGTGCGATCGCAACGTGTGCGACAGCAACGCGTGCGAGAGGACCGTGTGCGAGACGGACGCTACTACGGAGAACGCAGGAACGCGGACGTCAAGAAACGTGTATGCTGATGCACACGCTGGAGGTAGGGCAATCCAGCGGGAAAAAGGCCGTCTTTTCTATTCCGCTAGAAGAGCGAGTCAAGACGAAACAGCAGCAGCAAAGTGCTAAGAAAAGAGATTCCACACCACACCCCAAGCAAAAGCTTCGCGTGCATTCATGCTCGAGCGGTGTGGAGAGATTTGAGGCTCTGGTTAGGACGCGGCACCTGTTTGCTTTTTGCAGGATCGATCGCAGGATCGCTGATTTCATCGTACTCAAATCTTCTGAAAGCATTTAAAACTCTCGAAAACGTTCTTAACTCCGCAAAAATTCGATCCTGCGCAGGTTCGATCGCAGGTTCGGTAAAACAGGTGCCGCGTCCTTGTTCCGATCGCTCCGAGCCTGCCGACCTTGGGTTTGGCAGGGCGGGAAAGGAAATGTACAGTTGCAGGTCGACGCTTTCCAGGAGCGCGGGGAAGCACGTCTGAACACCACGTGGCTTCGAAGCATTTGTTGCTGGAAGTCGTTGCGTGGCGAACGAGCAGCCACGACTTGATGTTCGCGAAGCTCGCGACAGGCCGTCAGGTTCGCCATTCATAGTCCTCGTAATGGAATGAAGAATGTGTTGCACGACAATCCGACAGCTCCTAGTATTGAGTGTGCTTTTATGCAAAACAACACCAAATCCCCTGCTAGCAAATACAGCACAAGTGTAGAGATTCAAATCCAACAATGTGCGCCATTCTAATTCAATATCCCCACTACTAATGGCTCCGCTGCCAGCTACTGCAATCCCCGACCTTCGCTCCAGCGCTTCAAACCTCCTCCGTTCGCGCCTCAGCCTCCTTTCCGCGCACAATCGCCCCTTCCGCCTCCCCTCCGCGCAAAATTGCCCCTCCCGCCGTAGCTGCGGGCGCAAATCGCACCCCCTCAGCCCATTCGCGTCCATCTTACTGCGGGTACGCGCATGCGCGCTCTACTCTGCCTCGACTTCCCGGGGAGGCGGGAATTCCGGAAACCGACCGCACGCATTTGAACGTGGGTGGCACAGAGGCTTATTTGAAATGCGTGGTGACAAATCGGGGATACGAAGCAGCCAGGCAGGCAGATGCAGACTGACCAGTGCGACGACTCGGCGCGCAAGCGGCGACGGAGTCACAGAGCGGCGAAACGCCGACGGCGACGACGGCAGCGATTACGGCCACACGATGAACGGTGGAGATGATCCTACCCGCCGCTACATGGACGGTGGGGATGATCCTACCCGCCGCTACATGGACGGTGGGGATGATTCGAGCCGCCGCTACACGGTGGACGAGGCGCTCTCCGCCGTGGGATTCGGCGCGTTTCATTGGCTGTTGCTGGGATATGCCGGCCTGGCGTGGGCGGCAGAGGCCATGGAGCTGCTGCTGCTGTCCTTCATTGCCGCCCCCGCTGCCGCCCACTGGGGCGTGGGCGGCGACGGCGAGGCGGCGCTGTCGTCTGTAGTGTTTGGGGGCATGCTCGTGGGCGCATTCGCGTGGGGACTGCTGGCGGACAGCCGCGGGCGCAGGTGAGAGGAAGAAGAAGGGGGGTAAAGTGGGGAATGGGTAGGTGAAGGGGGGTAAAGAGGGGACTGGGTAGGTGAAGGGGGGTAAAGAGGAGAATGGGTAGGTGAAGGGGGGAACGAGAGAATGAAGGCATGTCCGCACGGGCCTGCTGGCGGGCAGCTGGGACGAGGTGACTTTTGAGTCGACTCAAAGGGCAGCTGGGAGCGCAGGTGCGAGGATGAAACGGCCCTGCTCACCTGCCTCCCAATGCCCCTCCCTTCCTTGCTCTCTGCCTTCCCCACATCCCCCATCCCTCGCTTCCACCCCTCCATCACCCACCCTCCTTCCTCCCTCCTCTCCCTCACACTCCCCCATTCCCCCGACCGCAGGTTCGCCTTCACAGCAACGGCTCTCCTCACCTTCCTCGCAGCGCTCCTCTCAGCGCTCGCCCCCTCCTTCCCGCTCCTCCTTGCCGCCCGCGCGCTCGTGGGGGTCGGTCTGGGCGGCGCGCCCGTCATCTTCTCGCTCTTCCTCGAGTTCACGCCGCCCGCTTCCCGCGGCTTCTGGTCGCTCGCCCTCTCTCTCTTCTGGACCGTTGGATCGATCGCCGAAGCTGCTCTAGCATGGGCTGTGCTGCCGGTCTTAGGCTGGCGATGGCTCATCGTGCTCTCCTCTCTGCCCCTCCTCCTGCTGCTGCTGCTCTTCCCACTGCTTCCTGAATCCCCGAGGTACCTTCTGGTGAAATCTCGGCCGTTGGATGCACTGGCAGTGCTGCAACACGTGGCAAGGCTTAATAGGAGGCCGCTGCCAGCAGGGCAGGTCAGCCTGGTTGCAGGGGGAGGGGGGCCTCAGGGTGGATCTCAGGTGGAAAAAACAGAAGCGGGAGAGTCAGAGGAAGGGGCACCGCTGCTGCAGAGTGAGAGCGAGCGGAACATTTGGAACCCTTCCCTCTCCTCCCTCCCCTCCCTCCCCTCCTTCCTCTCTTTCCCTCCACCAGCCCTGCGTCAGCTGCTCTCCCCGCCTCTCCTCACGACCACGGTGCTCCTGTGGGGGGTGTTCTTTGCCAATGCGTTCTCATATTATGGCCTTGTGCTGCTCACCACGCAGCTCACTTCTGCCACTCCTGCTTGCCCCCGCTGCTGCTGCTGCTGCTGCTGCCTCTGCTGCTGCAGTTGCTGCTGCTACTGCTAGTGGTGCTGTAGGTGCTGCTGGTGATAGCATAGCGGCTGTTACAACTGCCGCTGCCAGTGCTGCCACTGCTGCTGGTGATGGCCTAGCAACCGCTGCCGCTGCTGCTGCTTCTGCTGGGGCAGAGGCAGCAGCAAGGGACGCAGTGGAGCAACTAGGACAGCCCTTCTTTCTTGGTGTGCTTATAACGAGTGCAGCAGAGCTGCCCGGGCTGCTGCTCTCCGCGTTTATAGTGGATCGAGTGGGTCGACGCACCACCATCGCTGCCATGCTTGCTGCTGCCGCCCTCGCCCTCCTCCCCCTCCTCCTCCACTCCCTCCTCCCGGGTTTGTCAGTTCTCGCACTTGCCGCCCGGCCGGCTGCCACTGTAGCGGCGCTGTTTGTTGCCCGGGCGGCGATCATGGGGTCGTTTCAGACACTGTTCATGTTCGCTCCAGAGGTGAGTGCTTATGCAGTGCTTATGCAGTGCTTATGCAGTACTTATGCAGTACTTATGCAGTGCTTATGCAGGACTTATGCACTGCTTATGCAATGCTTATGCAGTGCTTATGCAGCACTTATGCAGTACTTATGCAGTGCTTATGCAGTGCTTATGCAGTGCTTATGCAGTGCTTATGCAGTGCTTATGCAGTGCTTATGCAGCACTTATGCAGTACTTATGCAGTGCTTATGCAGTGCTTATGCAGGACTTGCAGTACTTATGCAGTACTTATGCAGTGCTTATGCAGAGCATATACAGTGCTTATGCTTGCTCATGTCCGTCTGCATGTGAGGCTGTGGTATCATGGGCCTCAGGAATCAGGAGTAGCATGACCTTCAGTGGGCTGCTGTTCTGGGTGTTTATCTACAATTCTTTAGGGGCCAGAGATACTGCGTAGGCCACAGTGATTGCACAGCCTACAATGGTTGCACCAGTTGGCATAGCTTCATGCGTGCGACATTGTGTCGCAGGCATGCATGGAATACTTATTCGTGCACTGTGGCTGTTCTTTATTAAAACTTCCCTTCTTTTCCTGTTTTCCTGTTATCTCTCCCTCTCCTCTACCTATCCCTCTCCTCTCTCCCTCCCATCCTCTCCTGTCCCCCACTCCTCTTCTCTCCTTTCCATTCCCTCCCCACGCCCCCTCACTCAGCTCAATGCCACGTCCGTCCGATCTTCTGGCCTGGGATTTGCCAGCTCGTTCTCCCGCTTGGGTGGCATCGTTTGTCCTTACGTGGCAGTCACTCTGGTGCAGGGCTGCCAGCTGTCCACAGCGCTGTCCCTCTTTGTAGCAGTCCCGCTAACAGCAGCAATAGCCACCACGTTTTTCCCAGTGGAAACCGCAAGAAGGGCGCTTATAGAGGTGCATGTTGAGGACGGGGAATATGGTGGGCAGAATGACCGAGAAATTAGTCGAAACCAAGGTGTTGTGAAAGAGGAATTGCGCAGCTTATGATGCTGTTTGTACAGTGACATGGCCAATCAATCCATACCCTTATGCTCGACTACCATGTTTATGAATAGGCTGGTTGTCATACGGAGGAAGTTATGGATACAACCTGTACACAAGGTATCAATCGAGTCAAGCATAACCCAAAACTCTGGCCGCAACTGATTCAGACCAGCTTCCGACCAAATGTAATTTTTTGAACATTTTGTAACAAAAAGAATGTGTGGTAACTTGTGTTGTACAACAGTGCTTACATTGCTCAGCTCTATATGGCTAGCCCCTAGCTTCGAACAGAATTAGACCGCATGAAATCCTACAGATATCTCAAGACATGGGATGAATAGGCAGAATAAAATAGCTTCACGTGCCATTCATCTCCTCTCCTCCACCCCGCTGCCGTCATGTTCCCCCCCAGTGCAGTCTTCCTTGCCTTCCACCATGCTCCACTTGCCTCCAGCGATTGCAAGCCTGCACAAGGCATGATGCCATGCCACACAATGGCACACCATACCATGCCACACATGCCATGCCATGACACACATGCCATGCCACACCAGCCATGCCACACATGACAAACCACACATGCCATGACAAGCCACACATGCCATGACAAGCCGCACATGCCATGACAAGCCACACATGCCATGACAAGCCACACATGCCATGACAAGCCACACATGCCATGACAAGCCACACATACCATGACAAGCCACACATGGCATAACACACATTGGCACCAAGGCACATCCCAAACAATGGGATGCCATGCCACACAACAGCAAACCAAACCATGCCACACAACAGCAAACCAAACCATGCCACACAACAGCAAACCAAACCATGCCACACAACAGCAAACCAAACCATGCCACACAACAGCAAACCAAACCATGCCACACAACAGAAAACCAAACCATGCCACACAACAGCAAACCAAACCATGCCACACAACAGCAAACCAAACCATGCCACACAACAGCAAACCAAACCATGCCACACAACAGCAAACCAAACCATGCTACAGCATGGCATGCCAAACCATACCGTGCCACACAATGTCAAACCACACCATGCCACTCCGTTGCAGACCCCAAACCATGGAATGGCATGGCACACTATGCCATGCCTCAACACGACACATCACACTATGACCACCGAATACTCACACCATTGAATATCACAGTAACATGCCACACAGTAACATGCCACACAGTAACATGCCACACAGTAACATGCCACACAGTAACATGCCAGGCAGTAACATGCCACACAGTAACATGCCACACAGTAACATGCCACACAGTAACATGCCACACAGTAACATGCCACACAGTAACATGCCACACAGTAACATGCCACACAGTAACATGCCACACAGTAACATGCCACACAGTAACATGCCACACAGTAACATGCCACACAGTAACATGCCAGGCAGTATCATACCATAGAGTAACATACGAGACTCGATCATACCAAACAGTAATACACCTTACACCATCATACCATGCAATATCATAGTATACAGTATCAAACCATACAGTGTCAATCTGTCATTCCAACAAGTATCATACCATTGAGTACCATACTTTACAGTATCATACCATATAGCATTATACCATGCAGAATCATATCATACAGTATCATACCATACAGTAACATACCATACAGTGTCATACCAAACAGTAGCATACCATACAGTATCATACTATAAAGTATCATACCATACAGTATCATACCAAACAGTATCATACCATACAGTACCATACCATACAGTAACAAAACTTACAGTATCATACCATACAGTATCATACCATACAGTGTCATACTATACAGTAACATACCATACAGTATCATACCATCCAGCATCATAACATACAGTATCATACCATACAATATAATACCATACAGTATCATACCATACAGCATCATAACTTACAGTATCACACCATACAGTATCATACCAGACAGTATCATTCCAAACAGTAGCATACCATTCAGGATCATACCACACAATACGATTTCATACAGTATCATACCATACAGTAACATACCATACAGTGCCATACCATACAGTAACAGACCATTCAGTAGCATACCATATAATCTCATACCATACAGTATCATACCACACAGTAGCATACCATATATAAAGATACCATACAGTAGCATTCCATATTATATCATACCATCCAGTAGCATACCATACAGTAGCATTCCATATTATATCATATCATTCATTAGCATACCATACAGTAGCATACCATACAGTAGCATACCATACAGTAGCATACCATGCAGTAGCATACCATACAGTAGCATACCATACAGTAGCATACCATACAGTAGCATACCATATAATAGCATACCATACAGTAGCATGCCATACAATATCATACTATACAGTAGCAAACCCCCACCACAACTTACCAGCCCACCCCCCAGCAGTGGGAGCAGCAGACAGCCCACTCCCTTTTGGAAACAGCACCTTCAGTGGCTGAGCCTTGCAGGGGAGGCATGGCAGTGGAAAAGCATGATCTGGCCCAAGACTCAAATCCCACCCCTGACGTAGCTAGAGCTGACGCGAACCAGAGCTGCCGGCCGGTCGGCTCTGATGGTGTCCATTAAGCTTTGAACGCCAGATCGGTTACTTGAGCACCGAGTGCCGCCGCCACGCAGATTCCACCCACCACACCCCACCCACAAGCCACAACCCCAGAGGGTGCCGTCCCTAAGAGAGTGTGCTGCCCGCTTGCTCCCATGCTGCCCCTCCACCCGCCCACCTCCCCCCATCCCTCCACCCCATGCGTGCTCACCTGTGTGTACCTACCAGGGCCGTGCAGCGCCATGATGCCTGAGGCTGCTGGGAAGTGGGGAGACAGAAAGGGGGGGTCAGAATACCTCAACTGTTACCGCACCTTGCATACCAAGACAAATCTAACCTAGCCTGCCCCCTAGCCCCACAGCCCCCACTGCTGCTACTGCTGCTGCCGGCGCCAATTCTGCTGCTGCAACTGCTGCTGCCGGTCTGCTTCTCAGCTGCATTCTTCCCTTGATGCCAAGTGACCTGGCGGTGGGCAGAACGGAGGAGAAGAAACAATGAGTGAGGGGAAGCCAAAAAATGGCAGAGGGTGAAGCTGAAACATGGCAGAGGGTGAAGCTGACAGAATCAGAAACAAGAAGAAACCTACAGAAGCGATGACGGTAAGACAGAGACAAACCTGCAGCAGAAAAGAGCTTGAGGAAAAATCTAGGAGGCCAGGGAGGAAGTTGACGTACCTTGAGAGGCCAAGCCCACCCCGATACTCTCCCTTGTGGCAGCGAGTGCCATCTGCTGCAGTGCTGCCTCCCTCCCATCCCCATCAGTCCCTGCACGGCCACAGGGGAGGGGCGTGGGGAAGCGTCGGTGTTGACCCCAGCGCCCCTCCCCTCCACCTGCAAGGAACACGCACAGAGACTGTCAGTGTGAAACCAAAGAATAAAGCTGGATTGGCAACTGTGGATATAAAAGGCAGCACACGCGAGGGGAGTGGCCACTGGTGGAAACACAACCCAAAGCCACAGACCTTTAAGGAAACCTGAGGGGATAAACCTGCAGTGGGGGTTGTACCTGATGGGGCTGTAAGTTCTAGGGAAGGCTTAACCTGAGGGGCTACTCAGGAGTAAGGTAAGGTCTGTGGCTTGGGAAGCGAGACTACACCAGTGGCAGGGTTTCAGAGACAAAACACAAAAGCCCATGCGAAAAAGAGTTGAGTGGGCAATTTGAGCAGTGAGCAGCAAGCAAGAGTGAGTCCAGGGAGGCAAAAGCACTTAGCTGGCAGCTGAAGAAGCGGTGAGAGATGCTGCCTCATGTCCCCCTCCCTCCCCTCCCCTCCCCTGCTGCGCCAGTGCTCCCCATTGCTGATGCTGCTACAACTGGTTCCATCATCTGTCTCTGAAAGTGACCTGGAAGGGGGCAGAACAGAAGGGAAGGCCGGGAGGCAAGTGAGCGCAGGAGTTGAAACAGGCAAGGGCGAAACAAAGGAATGAGCGCCAATGCAAGTTAGCAGAAAACGAGTTCAGCGGGAGGAAGGTAAGAGGCTTACCTTGAGAGGCCAAGCCCATCCCGATACTCTCCCTTGCTGCACATGCTGCAGTGCTCCCTCCCTCCTGTTCCCGCGAGTCCCTGCACGGCCACAGGGAGGAGCGTGGGGAAGCGTCGGTGTTGACCCCAGCGCCCCTCCCCTCCACCTGCAATGCACACGCACAGAGCCTGTCAGTGTGCAGTCACGGGATGAAGCTGGATTGGCAACTGTGAGATTCGAAGGCAGCACAAGCGAGGGATGAGGCCACTGGTGGAATCACAGCCCAAAGCCACAGACCTTGAAGGCAACCTGAGGGGATGAACCTGCAGTGGGGGTTGTACCTGATGGGGCTGTAAGTTCTAGGGAAGGCTTAACCTGAGGGTTTGCCAACCAGTGGCAATATTTCAGGGATAAACACAGAAGCCCGTGCGAGAACAAACGAATGAGCAATAAGCAGTGAGCAGCAAGCAAGAGTTGAGTCCAGGGAGGAGAAAGCACTTCGCTGGAAGCTGAAGAAGAGCCAAGAGATGCTGCCTCATGTCCCCCTCCCTCCCCTCCCCTGCTGCATCAGTGCTCCCCGTTGCTGATGATGCCACAACTGGTCCCGTCAGCTGTCTCTGCTGCATTGCGAGTGACCTGGAGGGGGGAGGCCAGGAGGGGAGTGAGCGCAGGACTTGAAACAGGCAAGGCGAATCAATAGAAAAACTTAGCAGAAAACGAGTGCAGCGGGAAAGAGAGGTAAGAGGCTTACCTTGAGAGGCCAAGCCCATCCCGATACTCTCCCTTGTGTTGAGTCAGCTGCAGCGCTGCCTCCCTTCCCCCTTCCCTCTTGAACCATGGCCCCTTCCCTCCCCTCCCCTGCTGCACCAGTGCTCCCCGTTGCTGATGCTGCCACAACTGGTCCCGCCAGCTGTCTCTGGAGGGTGGCAGAACGGAAGGGAAGGCCAGAAGGGGAGTGAGTGCAGGCCTTGAAACAGGCAAGGGCGAATCAAACGACTGAGCGCGAGAGGGCAACTTAGCAGAAAAGGAGTGCAGCGGGTTAGAGAGGTAAAAGGCTCACCTTGAGAGGCCAAGCCCATCCCGATACTCTCCCTTGCTGCAGTGGGATTGCCATGCTGCAGTGCTGCCTCCCTCCCGTCCCCATGAGTCCCTGCATGGCCACAGGGGAGGAGCGTGGGGAAGAGTTGGTGTAGACCCCGACGCCCCTCCCCTCCACCTGCAATGCACACGCACGGCAGCGGTCAGTGTGCATGGCATGGGTGCAAGCACAAGTCACAAACTGAAAACTGCCAGAATTGGAAGAGAAGGGAGGGCCACTGGTTGAGGCAAGGCCACACGCCACAGACACCAAGGGAACCTGCACCTGAGAGGTTTACCTGCACACCTGAGAGGGTTACCTGCACACCTGACAGGGTTACTTGCACACCTGAGGGGGTTACCTGCACACGTGACAGGGTTACCTGCGCCTGACAGGGTTACCTTACCTGCACACCTGAGGGGGTTACCTGCACACCTGAAAGAATTACCTGCACACCTGAGGGGATCACCTGCATACCTGAGGGGGTTACCTGAAGTGCGGGTGTCAGTGGCATGTGAACTTCCCTCAAACAGTGGCATGATTTGAAAGGGAAGGGCGAAAGCACCACCAGAAAATGAAATTGCGGCAAGAAATGTACAAGGTACGATGCGGCAGGCAAGGGTGAAGGCATGGAGGAGAGTTACTTAACTGATGGCGTGAGGGCGAGCTCAAGGCAGCTGCAGCACCACCAGCTTTCTCCCTCCAGGACAGCCCTCCTCCCAGCCCTCACGTGCGCGTCCCTGCACGGCCACAGGGGAGGGGCGTGAGGGAGCGCCGGTGTAGACCCCACACCCCTCCCCGCCACCTGCAATGCGCACACACAGAGCTAGTGAGAGCACGGTGGTGGAAGCAAGTTGAACGGGTAACCATGACTTAAAATCCAGCGCAAGAGAAGAGAGAGGAGCCACTGGTGGAGGCACGGCCACAAGCTGCAGACCCAAGGGCACCTGAAAAAAAACCTGAGGGGTGTATCTGCACCTGAGAGGGCTACCTGCACCTGAGGGAATTACCTGAAGCGTGGGGTCTGTAGCATGTGAGCAGTACTCAACTGCGTGGCGTTGTTTCAAGAAGACGGTGCAACAGCAGATGAAACAAACGAAACGATGCTGCAGGCAAGTGTGCGGGCACGGGTACTTAGCTGATTGTGTGGCGCGGCGGAGGGGGTGCTTCAATGGAGAGTGGGCAGGGCGAGCGGGGCTTGAAGGGACGGACCTGCGAGGCAGAGAAGGGAGAGAGAGATAGAGAGATAGTAAGAGGCAGGTGGGAGGGAGTGACTCTTTTAAACAGCACCACCAGCTGCAGCACCACCAGCTTCCACAGCCAACCCCAAGTGAGTGAGGGGGACTGGGGGTGTGGGACTAGATTCTCGTGGTTCGCTGAAAGGCTACCGAAACAAGACAAAAATGTGGGGTCCTCCTTGTTTTAGGCCGCGGCTCCGATAGGGTCAGGACATTGGGGTTTGGTCTCTGGAGGGATGGCCGTTGGCAGCAAAAAAGAGGGACTGAATGAGCTAAATTGCCGGATGGTTCTCTTACAAAACAGATCTAGGGATCAGATTGATCAAGTGGACGTTGTCGACTGGCGGGAACGGCCAACCGACAATTCGAATCGAGGCACGGCGGTTCGTGTGAGTTTCTTAGTCAGTCAGCGAGCCAATGGAGCTACCCTAGCCGTTTGAAGGAACTGGGCTGTGATGAAGTTGGGATTGGATAGATCTTGCTGCTCCCTTCGGGTATCATGGGAAGGACTTCTCTTCTGTCAGATCCAAGCGAAAAGATGTCTGACGGTTTTGCGATTTTTTTACGAAACTATTGGTGTGATACACAGACATAGTGTCGTTGGCGAAATGTTTGTTACATGGACCTGCTCCATCCAGACCTGGGGTTCATGTTGTGTGGCTGACAGCAGCATCAATCGACAGCGAGTGACATTTTGAGAGAATCGAGTGACGTGGATTCCTAGACCAATTGCTGTCGAAAGGCTCTGGTCTGGGCCAGTTTTGGTCTGGTTCGGCTTAAAAATGTTCTGGTTTGGCCCACTATGGTCTGGTTCGAGTTGAGTGGCGGGAAATGGTATGGTCTGGGCCAATCTGGCCTGGTTTGACTCGGTCTGGCATGTTTCCTAGATGAACCTTGGACACTGTCGTTTTGGGGCAGTTCCACAACCAGCCTTTTGAGGGTGCTGCCCGCACCAGCTGGTGGTGGTGGCCGCTTGTCCCCCTCCTTGTTCTGCCAACAACTTCTAGGTCAGGTCACCCCGCATGGCGGTACTGTACAGAGCCAAGCCAAGCAAGCAATCAAGCCTTCCCCTGCAGCCGCCATTCCCCTCTGCTCGAGCAAAAGCAAGCAAGGGTGCGTGCAATTTACACGTCAGACATGGACCTCGTCCACATCCCCTTCCCCAACCCATGCCTCCTTCGAATTCCCTGTGTACACCTCGCTCGTCTCCTTCAAACTGGCACACCACCATCCGCTAGCCCTCGTCTTTCTCGTTGTAAGCGATTAGAGCGGAAAGAGAGCTGCAACCAAAAAGTGGGTCTTTATGGGCTACGCAACAGGTGCGCCACGCCAGTCTTCCACGCTAACGCGCGGACCATCTGGCACGCGTCGCGAGCATGCCAGAACGGGCAACGAGTGCGCTGAATTTCCCGTGGGGCGTCACGATGACGTGTCAGCTGACAGCTTCTCGGAGGATGAGTACAGCCGAACGAGTAGAGCTCCCGGTAGAGGTGGCGGGAGAGCCGGCGGCAGAGGCGCTAGCAGTAGCGGCAACAATCGGGAGAAGGGAGCAGCAAGTAGTGGAAGGGACGGTGTAGACAGAGCGAACCGCCATGGCCGCCGGCCAGGCGAGAAGTGCATTGACGAAGATAGTACTGAGAACGAGAGTAAGGACGAGCCTACTGATAGCTGTACCGACGACGACTTTAGCGAGAACGAAGAGGCCAGTGACGGGAGCGAAGTTGACGGCAGCGACGATGACGGCAGCGACAATGACGGCAGCAGCAATCGCTCGTCACCTCGAAGCAGCGATAGACGCCACACGGGGCGCGACTCGAACGGCAGCTCACGCCGTCGCTCAGACTCGCGGTCGTCGCGTTCCCCCGAGTCAACGCGGTCGCCGCGCTCTCCCGAATCTACGCGGTCGCCGCGTTCGCTGGAGTCAAGGCGGTCGTTGAGTTCCCCGGAGTCAACGCAGTCTCCGCGAGACGCAAAATCGTGGAGCGGTCCCGACGACAACGCGTCCAGGTCGAGCCGGTCAAGTCGGTCAAGTCGGTCAAGTCGGTCGCCGGATTCGTACAGGAAGCAGTCGCGAAACCGGTCGCAGAATAGGCCGGTGAGGAAGGGGGATGCGAGCAGGAGCGGCGACGGCGCGAGGCGGCAGCAACGGGATAGTCCCAGGCGCGGCGGATACGAGCGAGAGAAGGAACGGGAGAGCGGTCATAGTTCACGCCGTGACGAGGGAGTGAGGGAGCAACTCAGTCCGCTGAAACAGCTGGCGACGCAGCAGCAGCCGTCGCACGTAGCTTCCCGCCCCGAAAGGCATCACATGCAGCAGCAGAAGCAGTATGAGCAGCAGCCGCAGCAGGTGCGCGTTCCGCCCAACAGTTACCGTCGATCGCAATCCGCCGGCCGGTCCGAACATCGAGATTACCGAGACCCCAACCGAAACGCGGAGCCTAGTAACGAGTACGCAGAGAAGTATGTTGTCCGCAACAGGACACGGGCGTCCGCTGTGTCAGTGGACTATTCGCAGAGAGCACCGGCGGGACATTACGTCGCGGAGCACGAGCAGGAGCGCCACCAGCACCGCCAACCGCGCATCAGCGCACCCCCGCCTCCGCAGCATAAGCGCTACGCCTCCGCCGCCGCCGTCCCCGCGAAGCATCGCTCTGCTAGTCTCAACGCGGCGTCGCTAGACCAGGCAGCCGCCGCGATCGCCGGCGCCTCTGGCGGCGACGAGCCCGCGGAGCTAATGCATGGTAGCAACGCCGCGTACGCCAGTACTGGCGGCGGGAATTGCGGGGCGCGGTTGCCCGCGGGGAACGCTGCGGGTGGGCGACTGCCTTCCGCCCAGGCGCGGTCAATGCGCAAGTGCATCAGCGGGGATCGCGCTACAATGGGGAGCGGTTCGATGGATCTAGACAGGTGCAAGCAGGGAGGGTTGGGGATCGGCCATCGTGGTGCTGCTGGTGGTTCAGGGGGGTGTAACGCGCCACGGCCTAGTGGTAACCAGCCCGGTAACCAGCAGTGTCCACAGCCAGTGAGGCAGAACGTTCGTCCATCTGTGATTGCACGAAGCATGAGCGTTCCTGATGACGAACTGGAGCGAACTCCATCAGGTGGTTACCAGCAGCAGCACGGTCCCAGCCACAGGCAGGGGTATATCCACGGGCAGATGAACGGGCAGCCGGATTACGCCTATCGCCAGCCTGGACCCGGGAAACTTCAAATGAAAGCCCTCCGCCGCGCACAGTCCGGTCGTCTCAATCCCAGTAACGGATCTGCCAATAACGGATCACCTTCCACCAGCAGCAGCAGCCGAACCGCAATGCCACGGTCCATGTCAGCTAAAGCCCCCTCACCCACACCAACCTACCTCCCGAACGGGTTAATTGACTTATACCCTGTAGAGCCCTTGTCCCCCACAGAAATCCAGACTCCTGTGGGCGCTCCCCCTGCTAGAAGAGACTTTCCCTCCCTGCCTATGCTAGACATTCCCTGGTGCTCTGCTGATAGCCCCCGCTCCCCCCCCAAACCCATCAACGTCGGCCCGCCTCTCCGAAGCTGCAGCTTAGGCCGGGCAGTGCAGCAGGTTCGGGCTGGGGGGCGGATTGGGGTGAAGGCAGGGCAGGGCATGGGGGCGGGCAGTGGGGATGGTGGTGGAGGGAGGGGAGTGGGAGTGGCCGAGAGGAGTATGAGTGAGGAGAGGCGGGTGAAGGCGCAGGCTGCTAGGAATGCGGTGCGTGTGGTGGAGCTGGGTGGGCCTGCAGAGGGGTCACCAGTGCCCCATGCTGTGGCGGTAACAGCAGCAGGCGCACTAACAGCAGGGGCTGGTGGGGCAGGTGGGGCAGGTGGGGCAGCAGGGGAGATGGGTGCAGTGGCAGTGGCAGGGCATGGAAAGAAGGGCCACTTGAGAGGATTCTTTGCAAGCTGGGGCGGGCACTAGTCAGGGAGCAGTGGGCAGGCATTTTTGTTCTGCGGGCGCAGAGCAGTGTGCGCATGGTACTGTGTGCACTGCATTGGGCGTACTGAATCGGGCACATATTTCCATTTGATTTGTTGTGGGTAGTGTTTTGGGTACCGTATTACTTATGGCATCAGTGTCCTTGCATCGAGCACCCGCACGCTTTGTTATACGGTAGGTATGGTCATATTTTATGGTAATTCGATTCACATTTCTAACATTGCTGGGTATGCAGGTCACGGTGAGGTTTGTCCATTCAACAGAATATGGTAGCTACACCTGGTGGCATGCCCCTCTACTTGCCGACATACACCCTTTGTGCTGCCCTTGCAGGCAGCACAGGGGACTTGGCAGCGCTGCTTTTCCCCGCTGCCGCCTTGAGTTTGTTTCCACTCTTGGTGCGCTGCAGCCCTGCTCTAGATGCACCTGCCTCCACTCCTGCTGCCGCTGCTCCTGCAGCGACAGTACTGCTACTCCTGGCGAGAGCTGCTGCAGCAACGGTGCTGTTACTCCTAGCAAGTGCTCCAGCCCCTCTTCCAGTCCCCTCGCCAGCACCAGCACCACTGCCACCACTCTTCCCCGCCTTCTCCTGTGCGCCCACTGCAGAGGCTGTTCGCATGAGCTTGGAGGTGCTGCGTGCGAGAGAAGCAGACCGATTGTACGCAGCAGTGCCGCCGCCGCCGCCGCTGCTGCTGCTGCTTGCTGTAGCACTGTTGGAGTTGGCTCGGGCGGCATTGTTCGGAGTTTCCTTCACCAGCAGCTGCTGCAGCTTCTGCTGCTGCTGCAGCTTCTGCTGCTGCTGCTGCCTCTTCCTCTGTTGCTCTGCCTGCAGCAACCTCCCTGTGGTGTAGCCTGCCCCACCAGCACCTTCCCGTCCCCCACCCTTCCCTCTGCCACCCCCACCCTGACCAAGCCCACCCTTGCCACTCCCTCTGCCACCCCCCTTCTCACCCTTGGGTGTCTTTACTGGGACTCGTGGCCGGGTGGAGGAGGAGAGGAGCTCATTCATGCGGCGAGAGGGCGGGGAGAGGGACGAGGCCAGGCGAGCGCAAGAGGGGGACTTGCTCAGTGCACCCTTGCTCCCCATCTCTGCAGCACCAGCACCACCAGCACCAGCAGCAGCACCAGCAGCGCCAGTCAGATGAGCGCCCACCTTCTTACCAGTGCCACCTGTGCTTTTGCTGCTGCTCGTGTTCCTGCCGCCACCTCTACCCCCATTCCCCGGCAGCTCCACCTGCAGACCCCGCATGGCCAGACCCCCACCTCTGCCTGCTGCCGGCACCGCGTGCGTTGCTGCCCCCATGCTCACTGAGCGAGCAAAGGCCCCCGTGGGAGAGAGGCCGGGCACTTGCTTGCCTTGGGGTGCACCACCCTGCACTGCCCCAGCTGCAATAGCAACAGCCGAAAAGGGAGAAATAGCGGCAGCAGCAGTGGTGGAATACGGAGAGGTGGCAGCAGCAGCAGAGTAGGGGGGGGCAGAAGGTTGCATGGAGGTGGTGCGGGCCAGACGAGCTGCTGCTACCGTGCTTATAGCATGTGCAAACGCACCGGTTGGGGAGTTGCTGGGATGGAACTGGGCTTGTGGTGCAACTGCATTCAGTGCCCCAGCAGCAACAGCAGCAGCAGCAGCAGCAGCAGCTGAGGAGGCAGCAGGTTGCATGGAGGTGGTGTGGGCTAGACGAGCTGCTGCTGCTGCAGTCCTTGCAGCATGTGTGAACGCACCAGTTGGAGAGTTTTGGGGAATGTACTGGGCTTGTGGAGGGGTGGCATTCAGTCCCCCCGCAGCAACAGTAGGGGAGGCAGTAGGCTGCATTGAAGTTGTGCGGGCCAGACGAGCTGCTGCTGCTGCTGCCCCCTTGCTTGCAATCGCACCGGTTGGAGAGATGTGGGGTAAATGCTGGGCTTGCGATGGCAGCAGCAGCAGCAGCAGCAGCCGGAGCAGCGGAGGAGGCAGTGGGCTGCATGGAGAGTGCTCGGGCCAGTCGAGATTGTGGGGGTGGCGAAACTTGTGCTGCCTGCTTCTGCTGCTGCTGAACCTCTACCTGCTGCTGTTGCTGCTGCTGTTGCTGCTGCTGTTGCTGCTGTTGTTGCTGCTGCCACTGCTGCTGCTGTTGCTGTTGCTGCTGCTGCTGCTGTTGCTGCTTCCACTGCTGCTGCTGCTGCTGCTGCTGTTGCCACTGCTGCTGCTTTTCTTGCTGCCAGTTGTGCTGCAACCAAGCCTGCTGCCCCATCTGCCCTACGTGTCCCATTTCATGCCCCTCCTGCAACGAAGGCAGGGCGTGAGGAGAGACGGACGATACAGGAACATTGTGACGGTTCGAGTGCCCTTGAAAAGTGCTTGGACTATTGCTGTGGGGACTGACGTTTGTATGGGGGCTGTGATTGGTGTTGGGGCTGACATTTCCATGCGAATTGAAGTTGCTGGGGGGGCTATTCATGTAGTGCGGGCTGCTGAAATTATGCGGACTGGCGTTACTGTGCGGACTGCTGTGCTTGTGCGGGCTGCTGTGCATGTGAGGGCTGGTTTGCTCATGCGGACTGAGACTGGAATGGGAGAGCAAGGCAGCACCGTCATGCTGCCTCACTCCCACGCCCTGTGCCTGGTCACTGAAACCCACTCCCACCGCCTCGCCGTGCTGCCGGCCTGCACCTCCCAGCGGGCTCAGCCCCACATGCCACGTGCCACTCGCCACACCAGCGGGCCCTGCCAAGCCACTCGCCCCGCCGCCATGCATCGCCATGTGCACCCCTTCTGTTGCGCCCACTGCTCCTGCTGCCCGCGCCTCTTCTCCACCGCTGTTGCCCCTGCTGCCGCTGAGCGTGTGGCTGAATAGCTCCTCCCCGGACTCGCACTCACTCTCCTGTGTGCGCTGCACATGCACGTAGATGTCACAGGTGCTGTCACCAGCAGCAGCAGCATGATCAAAGCCACCGTCAAAACCAGCACCAGCGCCATCAAATGCCGGGTGCAATTCGGGACTGCCACATGCGATTTGCCCCTCCACCACGCCTCTTCCCCCACTGTCGCCCCCATCAGCGCCCTCAGCAGCACATTCCGCCAGGTAGCGCGCCACTGCTGCTGCGCCGCCCGGCACGCCCCTCTCCCCCCCGTGCACCTCGCTACTAGCATCCTCGCTAGTGAAGCCGAAGTCGTCACCGCTGACGTCATCGGCGAGGTAGGATGAGTCAGCATCGACCTCCACGTCCAGTGAGAGGCGCACCCGCTGGCGGAAACCCTGCAGGGCGGCATGTGGCAGGGCAGCATGCGGCAGGGCGGCAGCATGAGCGAGGGGGGGATGAGACAGGCTAGGATGGGGCAGACCGCCATGGCGCGCCACTCTGTGGCTGCCCTCTGCTGCCGCCGTGCCTTCTCTGCCCGCTGCTGCCTCGTCCAGTGCTGACGTGTCACTGGCGTGTGCTGACGTGGCTTCGTACAGATCCTCAGAGCCAGGGTACTCCTCGGCTGCGCGTTCTTCCACGTGGCACAGCTGCTGATAGAGCGTGCTCAAGCAGGGGGCATCCTCCGCACACGGCGGCTCTAAGGTGCGTGGAGGCGAAGTCACGAACGCACTCCCATCCCCTGCACTCCCTGCTTCCCGCCCTCGTTCCTGCTCCTTCTCCCTCTCACTGTGACCTCCCTCCTCCTCGTCCCCCTCGCCCACCTCCTCCCACAGCCGTCCCTCCTCGGACCCCCACGCGCCCTGCTGCATGTGCATTTCCTCTCCCCACCCCCCATACACGTCCCCATCTCCGCCCACCCCTGCCCCTTCCTCCCCTCCCTCTCCGCGCTCTTCCGCATCCCCCTCATCCAATCCCCGCTCGTCGCCCGCGTCACCGCCCCAATCCTCTCCCCACGCGTGTTCCTCCCCCTCCCCCGCGTCACTATCGCCGCACTCACCGTACAAATCCTCCCCCTCGCCCTCCTCCTCCCCGCTTACTCCCTCCCCCGCCGCCCCCTCTTCCCGCTCCGCCGCGCTCAATTCCCCCTCCCCGTCGCTGCCGCCACCGCCATATATATCCTCGTTAATATCCGCCTCGTCATTCTGCTCCATGCCCTCCGTGTCCTCCGCATCCTCCTCCGCGTCCTCCTCGTCACCGTACAAGTCCCCCTCGCCTTCCGCCACTCCGCCGCGCTCACTCCCCTCCTCCCCGCCGCCGTAACCGCCGCCTCTCAGATTTTCCTCTTCCTCCGCCGATAGTCCCGGCCCGTCTGCTTTCCAGTCCCCTGTTCCCACATAATGGGGAGAATCCTCATCCCCGATAAAACATTCCTCGCTGTCGCCATGTCTACCGTAAGCATTATCAGTAGCGGCCGATGCATCCACGCCGTACAGGTCTGAATCGGCCTCCTCTCGCTCCGTCGCGCTCGGCGGGGAATCATGGCGAGAGCGCGGAGAAGCGGCAGCGGGGACGGACGCCACGACCTTGCGCGCCACCCGCGCTAGCTCTTCGCGCGCGCCACCCGCGCGCGCCACCCGCGTTAGGTCTTCCCCCGCACCGGCAACACTCCCGACACGCCAGAAATCCTCCCATACGTTGACTTCGGAATCAAGACGCGGGGACATGGGTGACAGCGTAACGCCGTTGACCGCGTGGCAGCTCTGCTTCGCCGCTCCCAGCGACTTGCCTCGCCTCAGTGGCACGGCGCTCGCCGGGAATTCCGCATGGGCGACCCCCTCCGGTGGAAGCCCCTCGTCGAAGCGATTCGAGTCGATCCAGTTTCCTCGTCGGCAATTTCTCCTAGGTCCGGGTACTCGTTGGGTTCTGCGAAAAAATTGGGGTGTGCGCCGGATCGCAAGTTAGACACGACCCTTCGGGCGATCTCCGCTCGGGCCTCAGCCGCGTTGCGAATGCCGCTCATTGGATCGCCGAACGTGCCGCTAAGGACCTCCATATGAGAAGCGACGCTGTTGGAAGAAAGCGAAGGGACGGGCTCGAGAGAAACAATTGGGGCAAAGAAAATCCTTCCCGAGGAAACACGCAATCACCAATAAAGAAAACGCCTTTTCAATTCTGCAAAATCATTTATCGTCTCTAACAACAGGGCGAACGAAGTGTGGAATGGCAGGGTCGGAGGGAGGGGGGTGGGGCCGGGCGGGGCCGTGGGCAGCAGGGTTCACCTTCCTGGGAAAGGGCATTCGTGCACTTGACGATATCTGTACGGCAGGGATTGGAGGAAAATGAACTTGACTGCTCGGTTCGCCGTACGGCGCTGTGATTGGTGGCTGAGGCGAATCCAGTCAGCACTTGAAAAGTTGAGGGACAGTGAACCTGCACGAGACGACGAAAGAACTCCTTTCGCCTAGGTTTTTGCGCAACAGTGTGCGCATATAATTTGTCCGGACGTGAAATTCTTGGGCGCTGGGCCACTGGAACTGCTGGTGCACCAGAGAAAATTCAATGACACGCCAGGTCACACAAAACGATAATGTAACGACTGCCTCCAGGTGGCCGCCAGCTGTTGATTGCACGACGACAAACAAGTTGGTCCCGAACCGAAACCCATCCATTCCCCGCTAAACGATGTACTAAATGTCCGACAGATCCTGCTACACTCTGTAATACAGGCTCATAAATCTCATTATGGTGTGGCTTATAAATTAGGGATCTCAATCTGCAACAGTCTTCAACAATTCTAGCCATGAGAGCTGATATATAAATGATATGCAATTGATTGGACAGGGGACTGAAAGGCTTACAGATACAGTTGAACATACACTTGAGTATAGGACTCACAGTGAGGATGTGAGCGGTCGAATAGTGACTTCAGCTTGTGAGCGCTGGTTGTAAAGCATTCCTCGGTGATGGTGAGCTGATTGAGGCATCAACTATGGAGCATGGTAACTCGACCGAACTTAATACAGGGAGACAGGCAGCGCCGATTATGGACGCCGATTACTTGAAGCCTCAAAATGTGATATGCAAATGCCGGAACGCCTCCCATAGGCCCGGAAGGATAGAGCCGCAGATGAAGAGGCGGCTGCAGCCGACGCTTACTTAAGAGATGATCCACCACAGCTGATGCCTCCACCCACCTGCTGCTTAGCTGAGCAGCAGTTGGAGCTGTTGCTACTGTTTCAGCTGCGTCGGGGTGACAAGCTGCACTACTTTTAGTCACGCCATCTGTAGTAACTTCACCTTCTGTCACACTGTCTAATGTCACATCCCTGCTGCCATCCCTAAGACTCCTCTCGTCGCACAGGAAGAGGACATACTTGCTGGCCTTGCAATAGAACGCCCTGATTGGTCCAGAGCTGCTGCCACATCAGCAACTCGTTTCAGCCACGTGGCACCCTCCAGCTTCTCGCAGCCAGCTTCAAGCTCCTCCACGTACTCCCTGCGCAATCAGCACACGTTGCATAATGTCACATGGGAAAAGTATAAAACAAAGACCTTTACAGGGAACGAGGGTGGTGTTATGACAGGTCGGTGCATGCGACATGGGGATAGGATGAGAGGCATGCACCGGGCTTAGGTTGGGGCTAGTGAGCAGATGGGAGGAGCAGAGCACAAGGGAAGCATGACAAAAGGACAGGGAGGATAGTGTAAGCCAGGGCAGGGCAGGGCAGGGGAAGGGGGGATAGAGCAGGGGCGTTGCCTACCTAGCGGCGGTGAGAGCAGGTGTATGGCTGTCCTGCGCCTCTATCTTGCCACCAAAGTCCATCAGATACACCGGCCCCACGCGCCCACACTGCTGCTGCGCCTCTTGCTCCTGCTTCCTCCCCTTCCTCTCTTGTTTCTTCTGCTTCTGCCTCTCCCTCTGTTGTCTCTTATTTTCCTTCTTCACCTCCCGCACCTGCTGCCTCCTCCTCCTCTCCTGCTCCTCATTCCCTTGCTTCTCGCTTTCTTGCTTCCCATCCTCTTGCTTCCCATACTCTTGCTTCCCATCCTCTTGCTCCCCATCCTCTTGCTTCCCATCCTCTTGCTTCCCATCCTCTTGCTTCCCATCCTTTTGCTCCCCATCCTCTTGCTTCCCATCATCCCCATCATCCTCTCGAGTCCCACTCTCTTCTCGACCATTCGCGTTCCCACTATCCTCTCGCCCATTGACTTGCGTTCGACCCTCAACACTTGAACTTTCTCGTGTAACTTCAGTCTTTTTCTTCCCTTTCTCTCGTCTCCTGTTCCTCCTTCCTCCTCCCCCATTTCTCCCACCACTCTCTCCCCCTTCCCTTCCTCTCATGCCTCTCTCTGCTCTCCTTTGCGCCTCATCTCCGCACTCATTCCTTCCCCCGCCCTCCACTTCCGTCATTCCCCTTCCGCTCCCCTTATCCTTCCCCTCCCAACCGCTTCTACCCTCCTTCCGCGAGCCGCTCGTCTCTTCCGCAATTCCCCCGCCCAGGGCACTCAAACATTCTTGCGCTCTTCCCCCGCCTCCCGCGCACGAGCTCCCCTCCGCGCAACGGGCATCAGCGCATGGCACGAGACCACCTTCCTCATCGCCGATTCTCGCGCCGTCTCCCTCCGCGCCATCACCGTCGTGAGCACCGCCATCAACCGCCTCCTCACTCCCCTGCTGTTCGCGCTCCCGCTCCTCACGATCCCGCCCCTCGCGCTCCTGCTTGTCCCGTTCCTCGCTCTGGTTGGGCTTTACCTGCTCCGCTACTCCTCCATCCCCCCCTGCCCCATCCTCTCGCTGCGCGTTCCGCCGCACCCCATTCCGCCCGTGCGGTTTCCTCTTGCTCGCCTCTGCTTGGAACAGAAAGAGCAACCGACCGTCGCTAGCGAAGCTGTACGGCAGGATTCCCGCAGCGCGGTACTCCCGAGACACTTTCAACCATGAATCGGCCATTTCTGCTGATCAAGCGCAGATCAGGACGCTAATCACAGGGTTACGCAAATCTGCTGAGGACGCGTCCCCTCTTTCTAAGGGCGTATCCAACTTCGGGTCATGAGCACTGTTCTGGCTACTGTTCGGGTCATGCGGAATTCGCGCATGACCCGAAGTGGGCTGCCGAGCCGCGCGCGGCCCCAGCTTTGGGTCAATGTGCAGGTGTTGGGCGACTGACGTGCACGACCCACCCCCAACCAATCACCTGACTGCACGATTCTGTATTCACTGCCATTTTTTGGCGGTCGTCAGTCGAGTGTCACATGTGGGCAATGTCCCACGTCTTAAACCTCTACACCCAGCCACTCGGAAAATTGACCTCAGTGACCATGAGTGTGTCTAGAATTTCCCACGTCGCGCTTCCAACATTTGGGGATTCACGCCGGGAATTCAGACGATTGTGTTTTTTCGGTGGGTTTCGTATGGTCTCGCTAAGGATCGTTCGAACTGTTTAGGCATCCTTCCATTGGATGCGACTGTTGTGGGGAGCGTGATTTTGGCGCGAAAACCCTCACGACTCTTTGGGGGTCGCATGAGTTCGGAGGACCCAAAGTGGTGTTTTATGTTGTTTGGATCATCCGCGAATTGCGGATGCCCGGAACAGTGCTCATGACCCGAAGTTGGATACGCCCTAAATGGCAAGATCAAGGCAGGTTAGGTGCAGAACGCCGAACCTGCCACGATCGGTGTGCATATCGGTGTGCCCAACTGCAAATATCGATCGCAGGGCTCCCCTGAGCCACAGGTGACAAGATCTAAAATTCATGGGGCAAAACTGCACGGTCGCTACAATTGCACGGTAGATTGGCACATCGATCGAGTGAGCCCTGGGTGACATCGTCATGGTGACCAATTTACTGTACATTCACGACAATTCTCGAAACGTGGAAACATTACTTTTCGTCAACTCGCGGAATCATTGTACACTTGACACAACGATCGTGTGCACGATCGAGCGCCCTCCTCAAGAAAGAGGTGACGCGTCCTGAGTGAATTTTACGCGTTACAGTTTGCATCGTACTTCAAACTTGTAACCGCAGGAAAACAGTGTTGCCAGAGTAGTTTCTATACGTTCTACAACAAGTAATAACTATTGACACACAAAATCACAAAGACGTAACAACTGCTTCTTGCAGCCCCTTTCAACATTCGACATTTACTATTTCACTACTTCCTCAACTCAGAAAAAACAGCCGCAGCATCTTTCTTGAACCATTGCACGAGCTGTTGACCATCCACGGATAGCGCTTGCATTGTGAGGGCGCGCATGCTCCTGCCCTTCAGGCCCACCGCCTGCAACGTGCGATCCACACTCACAAACAGCTTTGGGAACCTACCCCTTGGGGCCTCTCCTATTGGCTGGTTCTGCACGTGGGACAATGGAGGCATGAAAAAAGGCACATGGGGAACATGAAGAGGACATTCTACATTTACGACGGAAGAGTGAGCCGGTTTAAAAAGTTGAGTTCCTGGGGACGTGAAATTAAATGTTGACTGATTACAATATATGCGTGGTGGTGTGCCCAGCAGCTCACCTTAGCCCGCGACATCCCAGTAACGATAACCAAGTCGCGCACTAATGAGCCATCAGCTGAGGATCCAGCAGCAGCAGAAGGAACACCACCTTGGGAAGACACGGCAGCAGCAGGAGCAGCAGGAGCAGGAGCAGCAGGAGCAGGAGCAGAGGCAGGAGAGGCGAGGTGCAGCAGGAGGGAGAGCAGGGCGACAGTGGCGACGGGGCGTGTGGAACTGCGCACATCACACCTGTGAGGCCACGCAGGGGGGAGATGGTGGGTGAAGGAAGCAGATTCAGGGATGGAGGGGGAGGGGAGCATTGACGCCGCAAGGCCTTAGAGCAGGATTACGGGACGAGGGAGCAAGAGGGTGGCGAGACTTGGGAACAGGGGAAAGGACGTGGCACAGCTACTGGTAGGGTGTGTGTGTGTGTGTGTGTGTGTGTGTGTGTGTGTGTGTGCGTGTGTGTGTGTGTGTGTGTGTGTTATAGGGCGGCGAGTGGTCGGAACAGGTGCAAGGAGTAGTGTGTGTGGTGCAGATGGGTGAGGGAGTGTGAAGAAGCTGACCTGTAGGCATCAGTGAGGGCGTAATGGGAGAAGGTGCCCGCCTCTGCTGCCTCTCTGTATACCTCCACTGCTGCTAGCAGGGCTGGCAGACATAACAGTGAGAGGGAGGGAAGGAGAGGGGGGGGGAGTGGTGGATGAGATAAGGGTGGGAAAGAGGGGATGAGATGGGGTGAGAGAATGAGGGAGGCGCAGGAGGGAGGGAGTGTATGGAGGAGGAGAATGGAGGGGGCGGATAGAAGAGTAGAAAATGCTTTGCAAAGACAAGGGGGAAGAAAGGAGCATGTGAGCATGGAGACTCAAGACCACAAAATACACCAACGCTGTGCTCCCAGAGGAAAAGAATTCCCATCCTCCCTCTCCATCCCCATCTCCCACCCGCCTCGTGTACTCAGCTCACCAGGTGTGAGCGACAGCCTGTGCCCCTTCTCCACGAGGGCCTTGATGGTTGTATTCTTTTGGGTGAGAATAACTAAAGGGAATTCTCGAACCAACTCAAAACTCACCCGGTGTGAGCGAGAGCCTGTGCCCCTTCTCCACGAGGGCCTTGATGGTTGCATCCGCCCCCTCAGGGCCAAAGCATGCGTCAAACAGCACTGTGTACGCCGGGAGGGTTGGTGCCAGGGGGTTCTGCTTGGGGCAGGGGGGAGGAGGGAGCAAACATGACAGAGGAGGGAGAGGAGAAGGAAGGCAGAAGAGTGGATTGGGATAGAGAGAAAAATTAGAGATGGGAGGACAGAGGAAAAAGAACGGGGAGATTTGGGCAGTAAGCCAACAAAGACCATACTCTCCCGACAAACAGCCGGCAATGCCAACATCCCCACAAGCGCAAGCAGCCATCCCATGCTTCAGAAACCCTGTCCTCCCCAGCGATTTCAATATGACCATACAAGCTCTCCGCGCTCACTGCTCACCTCTCTGGCGCCACCGATGACCGTGCTGCCGCTCCCCTTCCGCTCCCACTCCGCCGCCCGGCCCTGCATCTCCCGGAACGTGCCGAGCGCCGCCGACCACATGCCGGCGCGGCCCTGCACGGTCATGAGCGCGTGGAAGACGGCGGCGTTGGGCGGCACGCCCTCGGCCTCTAGCTCCTGCCGCACCGCCATGGCCCGTGCTGCGTCCCCGTCCTTGCCACAGGCTGTGATGAGCGTTCCCAGGGTCACCACGTCTGGCCTGTGGCCCTCCGCCCTCATCTGACTGTATAGCTGGTGGGGGGGGAATGAGGGGAAGGGATTGGACGCATGGGGGGATGTGTGAGAGAGTGAGGGATGGGAATTGGAAGGAAGGGCGAGCAGGCAGGTGCGTGATGGGTTCACGCCCACATGACAGGGAGCAAGGGAGGAAGACAGGAAGCAGGGGAGGGCGTAACTGGCAGGCAGGGAAGCAAGGCAGCAGGGGAGGGCGTGGCATACCTGGAAGGCGGTTTCAGTGGAGGCGGAGGGGGAGGCAGCAGCGGAGTGGATGAGCTTGTTGAAGGTGGACGTGGTGATGGCCCGCGTGTACCCCCTCTCCCTCATCATGCTGAACGCCTTCAGTGCCCCCTCGTGGTCGCCCGCCTGCAGAGACACATCACACACACGCATAGACACACAGAGGCACACAGACAGAGATAGGCAGGTGGAGTGTGGAGTGGGATGAGACGAGAGCAGCAGAGGAGGTGGTGTGATCATGATCATGTCACCCCACACTCGCGATGCTCCCTTGCGGCCCTCTTCACCCCACTGCCCCCAGTGCAAGCATGAAAGCTGAACCTGAAACCCCAACCCCAAAACTCAACCCCTCACCCCAATCCCTGAAATTTGAAACCCGAAACCCAACCCCACCTTGGTGCAGGCGGTGATGAGCAGGTTGAACGTCTCTGCATTGGAACGAACGTTCTCAGCAGCTTCCATCTCGGAGAAGAGGCTCCACGCCTTCACCACCTGCAGGAGCACAGAGACGGCATGGTGCAGAGGCAAGGGGTTCCGGTGCAGGGGGGTTGGCA